CGCCCGCCCGCCCGCTCACGTGATAACATAATACGTATCGTCTTCGACGGGCGTATAAAAAGGGAAATGTTAATATAGTATAATTATTAAGCCAACATTATGCTAATATGTCAACAAGAATGATGTAATCCCCGAAGTATTGGTGACAATACCAGGAAAACTGGTCACCTCCCCGGCGACAGTTATGTGGAAATAAATAGAATGTTAGTGTGACAGAGGACAAAACAGTGTTTCTCTTTAATTGTTAGACTTAAGAAATCTTTAGGAAATAAATATTTTATGTTAGTAAATACTGACACATCTTACACAAGACCTTCACACAAAAATCAATGCAGACATTATTTAAAAGTAAAAAAGGCACATGATAATCAAAATGATCAACCAAATAATAACCGACAAATACACATCAGAAAATATACATATGCAATTTTTGTGCAAAAATTGAAAAGGACAAATTATTGGCCTACGTTTTTCACGATCTTCCTTGTGTGAGGGTTCTAGCTCCACCATCGTGAGGCCATCCTTCTCGTCCTTAGCTAACCAGCGATGACAAGCAAACAGATAGTGTTCACCTCGTGACGGAACATCTATACGGACCTCGTCGAGGTGCCAACCAGCACCAGGTTTAGAGTTGTCATGTCCTATTTTTATCTTCTTCAGCTAAAAACATAAAACAAATTAAAAATTATCATGGATTTTGTAGTAAAAGGTTAAAGATAGTGTAGCACAACCTTGAAGTATAGTGTACAGTGAGTTACCTCCCTTCCTCTACTTGGGTATTATGGGATCGCACACATGTTGTAAGGAGGGATTACCATGAACAAACGCGTCACAGAGCATGATCCTGAGAAAGGACTTTGAAGTTATTACAGATTTTCTTACCAGGATGCAAGTATAAAAGTTGTCTTGTGTGTCCTATTGACAGGAATGTCATGAAGTATAGTCGTAAAAATTGTTTTAGTGAGAAATTTCCATCTTACGTCGGAACCATTTGATTGGAGAAAAGGACCAAATTAGCTTAAAAAACAAACAAATTAAATTTTTAATCTCAAATTATTGTAAAGCATTTATTTCGTGCATAACAGTGATAGCTATTAATTGAAAATATATTCTGAAAGGCACCAAAAATCTTCAATGGTTTCTAAAACCAATTACTATGGTATCAAATATTAATATGGAAATGTTTAAGAGAAAACAATACTTGAAATATTAATAATTTAACAAAATTCAGTAGATGTTTTTATGATTCTGATCCTACTTACCACCCCTATGTTGACAGATTCCAGTTTGAACATGTCTGTTTTTCCTCTCTCAAATTTGTTGGATGTATTTTCTGAGGACCGAAGTTGGAGCTCTCCTGTGTCTCCTTTGGACCCAAATATCTGGATTGATACATTGGCATCTGTTCCCGCACTTCTGATGTCACCGGTTGTTACATGAACATTGTATGTGGTAGCTGAAAGGTGGAGAGGTTTAAAACATCAGATTTGTTGTATTTTTTGTAATTTTGGTGGCAGACGAACACCTCTCTGGGTCAATGAAATAAAGCTGTAAATACCGTACATTTTATCTTACATTGTATCTTTACCGTATGTAAGACAAGCTTCATGCTCAATATGTTATCAAAAAATGAATAAAGCCTATCATTATTATATAATTATTATCAACATTTCCATTATTTCAATTTAGAAGATAAGTTAAAGCTGAATGACTCCCATTGGTCCTAGCTGATGTCTTGTATAAACTGATCTCCAGATTATACATAGTAATCTACTGTGGGGCCTAACTGGGGATTTGTCTGTACACATTTCAGATCTGGCATTAATACTAAATGGAAACTTTCATCCACAACTTTATTTCTGTTCTGCCCAATCAACAATTTTACAAAGGTCAGAGTGTGAACATTTAGTTCGGCAAAAAATATTACATTTTTCGCCTGGAATGAACTTCGGATGATTTTTTATAAAATACTATTGTGTTTGTCCACACGCTTTATAGTTATATTTGATATAACAATAAAATAAATAACATCTGGAAAGATGTCTAAAATCACCACATGTGCCTATGTGACAAAAACAAAAATATCTTACAGGACCAGTCACGTAATACTTACTGGACAACATTTGTGAGCCAAGTGTTAGCTCACGGACAATCTGACCGTCATCCTCACTGGTGGCCAGCCAGCTGTAACACATCAGGTATAAATAAACATAACACACCAGGTATAAATAAACATAATACACCAGGTATAAATAAAACAGTCTTCAGTTCTTCTACTCTCAATTCAATCTTTTACAACAACAACTTTCATAAAATGAAACCATTTTATTAATTTTTACTCTTAAAACACCCCAACATATCTAGGCAGTAACTAATTAAAAAGGATGTTATTTTATAAATACAAATGTACATCATAGTGACGTATCATGAGCATATCCATATACATTTAATATCTATAAAAAAACTTCCTGTAGTGACACCTACTTAGGGTACATAACAAGGGAGATCACTCTACCTACTATGTAAGTGCTAACAAGTGCTTTTTTTGCTCATCTTCTCAGAATAAAAATCATTTTCACCTCTTGTCTTTGGACAATCTTTTGAATCTATAGTTATGCAGATCTTCTCAGAAATTTCAATATTTTTTAGGAGTAATTTTATTCAATTATTTGAATTGCATCATTTATACTTACCGTCCACATTCAAATGTACAATCGTATTTGTCTTTGCCCTCCTGTTTGACCACCACCTTGTCCAGAAACCAGCCAGAGCCTGCACCCTTCCCATCATGCCCTATGATGATCTTGTTCAACTTGAGTAAGGTCACTGCTTCTAGTGTAAAAATGTCCGTCTGAAAACGTAAATATTTTAGTTGACAACTGTAATGATTTTGTATCACAATTCTTTATTTGCTTTGCTATAACAAGTAGCCAATGATTGTGAGTTGACCTACAGAATTGTATCCAAATTGCTTTATACTGCTATGGTACTTATGTCTTTTAGACAACAGTGCCTTTGCTACACATTGACCTTGACATTTCTCCTGGACGTAGAATCGCCTGAACTATTGACATGTAGGGTTGAGTAAATGTAAGAACTTTCTAGAACTACAACAAATAAGAAACACAGTGTAGAGAAAACGCTTACATTTCCCTTCTCAAATTTATTTCTGTTGGTTTTGGATTCCTTAAGAGGACGATCGCCGGTATCACCCAGTTCACCAAACAGGTTGACGAACACATTGGCGTCCGTTCCACCTCTCATTTTCTTTCCTGTATGAACTTCCACTACGTATTTCACCACTGTAAAAACACATACAATATAAGAGATAAATGAGGGTAATTGACAGTGGTAAACTCAACCAAGTTTCAAGTACAGTCTTTTAACAAAATTAAGTCTTTAATTGGCTTTACCTTGTAAAATGGTGATGCATTCAGAGACCAAGGGAGGCAAGTTCAGAAAAGAAAGCATGAAAATAATTATGGACTAATCATTGAATTAAAAAATGAAAAGTGATCCAAGATTCCTCCTCTTATATTTTTCAGATCGGTGTTAATGTACAAAAAACTTACAAGGTAAAGGTTTATTGATATCTTTACTCTCCGCTGGCATTTCACGTATGAGCGATTTGTCGTCCTCGTCGTCAGCCAGCCAGCGGTCACACTTGAAGTTGTACTTTTCCTTTGTTGTCATATTCTCCAGGTTGACCTTGTGGAGGTGCCAGCCCGATGCTAATCCGTCGTTGTCGTGCCATACACGTATCTTATACAACTTGCCGATGTCCACCATGCCCACCTTGAAGTGATCCGTCTGCCCTTTCTCAAAATTGTCCCCTTTGTTGTCCAATGTAACCTTGTCAGATTTTCCTTTGTCGCCGTAGGCAACCATGTAGACATTTGCATCTGTACCCGCACTTTTTATATCACTAGTAGATATGACAACAAGCCATGGGATCTCTGCAGAAAAAGGAGGATATTTTGACGATTAACATATCACCATGTAAAATAACAAACAAAACAAAATAATATTTTCATTCCTTTCTAACAATTATTCTTTTTAACAGCTCTTAACCTGCTTTTATTAGGTGACACACTTTTAAAATCAAATTTAGTCTACAAAATGCTTTTTTAGAACATACTCTTTTCCTTGGTTATGTATATATATATATATATATTTTTTTTTTACAAGACAAGACAAAACATATATGACATTGTTCCTAAGTACATGATTATTCATACATATTAAACCAAGGTGTCTATAAAGTTTTAAATAGTTTTGGAAACGTTTTTTTTTACACTCCCCCTCATCATAATTCATCAACATCATCATCATCTGTTATCATCATCACTACCACTATCATCCTGACATTATTCTTAACATCATCATCATCTGTCATCATCATCACAACCACCATCATCCTGACATTATTCTTAACATCATCAGACATCATCATCATTGTCATTATCAGACATCATCATCATCATCATCATCTGTCATAATCATCACAATTACAAGCATAATTCTTAACATCATCATCCTCATCATCATCAGACATCATCATCATCATATAAGATATTATTCCTAACATTATCATCATAATCATCTGACATCATATGACATCAACATCATCATCTGTCATCATCATCACAATCACCATCATCCTGACATTTTTCTAAACATCATCATCATCATCATCATCATCCTGACATTTTTCTAAACATCATCATCATCATCATCATCCTGACATAATTCTTAACATCATCATCCCCATCATCATCTTTCTCATCCTCATCCTCATCATATAAGATAGTCTTCTTAATATTCTCATCTGACATCATATGACATCATATGACATCATATGACATCATCATCACCATCATCATCATCAGCCATCATTATCTCATCATTTTCATCCGATATCATAAGCAGATATTAAAAAATTGCCAATGCCATGTACATACATAAAGACATACACTGAGACACCGATGCAAAAACAATATATATAAACCTATGACATCAAACACACAAGAGTAAAACCAAATAAACTGAAACAGAAACAACAACAAAAACAAAAACAAAACATTACAGGGGATGGGGGAGCAATCCTAGGTAATTTTATTTTAACTTAAGCCTGGCGAATTAAAATGTATGAAGAATTTGATGATTATTATTACAGTGAGGAGACGATAAAGTACAATAGATGTATATATGTATAGAACAAATATGTCATATATATATATATAGTCATATTATAACTGCATCCAGTTATCTATTTGATGGTTTAACTCATCCTTATTTATTAATTTATTCTGTTTAGACACAAGGCTCTTTTGTGCTTTTAATTCAAATTTCATATGGTTTTTGAGACTAGTCAGATTAAGGTCTATTTCTAGGCATTTAGTTTTATATATGTATTGTTTTATAAGTAGTATTATGATGTTTTCTATATAAAACTTTGTATGTTTATATGTATGTTTACCAAAAATGAATTCTTGTTTATCAAATCTTAGTGTAAGGTTTTTAGTTATGATATTTGTTTTAAGCTCGTCAATTAGCCTATCAACTTTTTCGCAATCCCATAGCACATGAACTATTGTTTCAGGGTGGATTTTACAGAAAGTGCAAAGGTTATTGCGTGATTTGCCAATTTTGAATAAAAATGTGTTTGTAGTGAGGATTCTGTGGTTTATTCTGTACTGTAGCCACTGTAGTTTGGAGTTGGTGGTGGTTTTAAAAGGACATTCATATATTTTTTTCCATGTTTCTTCATCTATATTATCATTTAAGATCCATTTTCTTTGAGCAGTAGGTTTAACATTATTTTTAATTAATATTGAATAAATGTCTTGTGCTCCTTTACTATTTCTAAGTATTAATTGCTTTTTCTGAAGTAAAAATGTGATGAATTTTTCTTATAAAATGATGAACAGCATTCTTTAGGCCTTGGTATGTCAAAAAAGTCTTCAAAATGGTAGAGTGATCCATCCTTTAATAATGTTATATACAAATTGTACTCCCTTTTTAAACCATGAATTTTTTAATGTAAATTTTCTGTCGTTTTTTATTTCACTATTGAACCACAGAGGGTTTTCACGTATATTGGTATTGTATATGTTGCTAGAAATAATAGTATTGTACCATGCTTCTAAGACATCTTTCCAAAAGAGGTTACTACAACATTTTAATTCTTCTTTTAATTTTTCAAGCCCACAGTTAGCTAATGTTTCAAAATAAGTTTCTAAGATAAGAGCTCAATTTCCTTCTTCTTTATATAATTATCTTATCCATGTTGCTTTAAGAGCTGTTATAAAAGATTTTTAATGTATCATTTTCAGACCACCTTCTTCATAACTTTTAATTATCACATCTCTCTTTATTTTATCTGGTTTACCATTCCACAAAAATTCCTACAGAATACTATTAATTTTTCTTATATGTGTTTGTTCAGGATTTGGTAGTGCTATAAATAAATGGCTAAACTGTGATATAAGTAGTGTTTTAATAACTGATATTTTACCTATTGATGTAAGTACTCGTCTATTCCATGATGCTATAAGAGATTTTAGTTTTATAAGTTTTTTATCAAAATTCAGTTTTGTAATTCTTTGTAAGTCTACATCATAGTCTATCCCGAGCAAATTGCTTCCCCATTGTAAATTACAATCTGTTGTGTAAGAGTTTCCACTATATTTTTTGCTGCCAATCCACACTACCTGAGTCTTGGAGAAATTCATTTTTAATCCTGATATTTTTGCATAATAAGAGAGATGTTTAAAGGTTTCATCCAGAGATCTTTTAGAACCATCTAAAATAACAGATGTATCATCTGCAATTTGTGATAAAATAATTTCATTATCCCGTACAAATATCCCCTTGATGTTATTGTTATTTCTTCAAATTATCGATAAAATTTCTGCACATAAAATAAAAATATAAGAAGATACAGGATCTCCTTGACGACAGCCATGTTCTATGCTGAAAAAAAGTGATAAGTTTCCCCCTATGTTTACTGCTGAGTGAATATTTTGTTGAAACAGTTTTATCCAATTAAGTATAGTTGGGCCAAATTTGAAATATTTTAGTTTTTTTTGTAAAAAGTTCCAAGAAACAGAATTGAAGGCTTTTTCAAAATCAATGAGAAGTATAAGTCCAGGAATATCATAGTCTTCTGTATATTGCATAACATCCTATATTATGTGGTTGTATGGCCTTTTTTTAAAGTACTCTTTTGTTTTGCCTTGGAACTGCTCTTTAATAACTTACTCTTTTCCTTGGTCTTTCGGACTGCCTTTTGTTCTTTGAGAGTTCGCTGTATCTGACCATCGCCACTGTCTGTAGCAAACCACTTCTGACAAGGAAACACCTGTTCTATTCCTGTACTTGGACAAAAGACAATCACTTGGTCCAGGAACCAGCCAGGTCCAATCCCACTGTTGTCATGGCCGACCTCTATTTCCTTGAGTGGGCTCAACATCTCCACCATGTCGACATTAAAGATATCGGTCGTTCCTTTTTCAAATTTCCCAGTCTCCAACCAAACTTTTCCACTTGTTTTTCCCTGTGGTCCATTCATAACCACAAAAACTCTGGCGTCTGTACCAGCATTTGATTTGTCCCCCGTTGTTACCGTAATCACAAATGGGAATCCTGAGAAAATGATAACATTTCTAATAGTGAGGATAGCAAATGTGTGGACAATATCCATAATATTATTCTTTTAAATTCTGACAGAAAGATTTTATGAATTTCTACAAATGATAGGTTTAATTTCGAATATCTCTTAAATCAAATTTTGATTACAAAAACTTGTCACTTTTGTTTGTAGGGTTTTGTTAGCGAAAAACTTTTTTACATTAGAAGTGGTCTTATTTTGATACTGAGAGCGAGGGTTATAAAGTAGCCTGGCGGACAGCATACCTGGAGCGATGTTCATTGGCCCGACATTGACAATGAGATCTCTGGATGTCATACCGTCGTCTTCGTCCGTAGCCAGCCAACGATTACACGGAAACTCATACACAATGTTGTTGTCGGTGTCATCAATAATCACCTGAAAATGATGAAAGTGACAAAGATGAGAAATAGAGATAGGTGAAAATGATACAGGTGTGTCTTAAGCCTATTTATATAATTAACAACACAGTTGGTAGATATGATAGGTCAAGATTAAAAAAATAACTATTTCTGTTTACTCTGCTAACAGATAAACTACATTTGAACATTAACCACTGAGCCATTAAATTTCACGTATAATAAATTCAATGTTTTCCTCCTGGAAAGTATGGTTAACTATGTGTTAGTGACTTCACCACCGTCCATTTTGTGAAACGTTGTATTAATAAACCAAACGTGTCACGTCAGTATACCCTATTTAATAGTTCTTACGCTTTAAACTCAAGTCATGTGGTCAAATCTTTTATGTAATCCACTGATTACTGAAGACACTAGTGTCAGTTAGAAAATATTAATATCAGAATGGAACTGAGTTACCAGACTAAGGACCTAGAAACAAATTAAATGTAAAATATAAAGGGTATTTCCTCTGTTTTATCAGGATTCAGCAGGAGTACAGAATGTTGGTTTGAGTAAGGAAACACGTTTAGGAATATTGAACCCGGTTCTCTATCTTCCGACACTTACATGATATTATGTAATATACACTTACTTACATATATTTTTTCTTCCTTTGACAGATTGTTACTACAGAGAGGTATATACAGTAAAACCCAGATTGCTCAAGTATTTAAAAGTCACATTTCCTTCTTTTCTTTACATTTCTCTTAACGTATCAACAAATGCCTCTTTAATACCATTGTGGCACTGGAAAATAGTGACAATTAACATGATTTAACAATACTGGTCCCTCCTCTAAATCCTAAAAACCAATCTGGTAATCTTCATCCTGTTCATGTTGAGCTAGTTACACAACCTTGCATGCAACCCTCAGGTACAAAGTATGTTTACTTTATTTGTGATTGAATTAATAACCTAATAAAATCTGTCTAGACCAAACACCTAACAACCAATATCTCTCATAAGATAATTATAGACATTTGTTTCTAATTACTTGAATACATGTATACCATACATAGAATTATACACAATAGGGCCTTGACGAAGGTTTGATTGATACAGGTTGGTTTTGGCAAGTTTAATTCTTAAGATTATAACTCTATGATTTGAAAATTTGTTGAAATTATTTAATTCAACGCACGTTTTTCCTTAGGAATTGGACATATCATTTTTTTATTTTATCAATTTTACTTTTTAAAGTTTTGTTTAATTAATAGTTAAAATTAAGATGCAAAGATAATAGCTGGCACAAAAAATATCTTATCCCTAAACCAGACTTCCTTGTTCTACCCAAACAAAGAGCTCCCACATATTCCCGTGAAAACCACACATCTGCCTTCTCCCCTTATCCTGCTATAACATTTGAAATAACTAACATACATTATCCCTAAACCAGACTTCCTTGTTCTACCACAACAAAAACGTCCCACATATTCCTGTGAAAACTAAAGAGCTTTGTCCATGTGGTGAAGAAATCAAACTGCTCTTCAAGGACTCAACACCACCCCACCCTACCCTCCTCCCCACCCCACCCCACCCAATTATCTGTGGTACAAGGCTATATATCCTGACATCAGGAAGCCTACTTCCAATATTAACACTGATATCACCCATCAGTATACTCTCATCAGACTGAGAGAGTGTTTGGCAAAATGGGACATACTGAACCCTAATAGGCTGGTAAGCACAGATTTGACTCCCAAAAGTATTATAAAAAAAATAGGACTGCAGTACTAGAAATTGAATCTCTTACACAAACAATTGCATTTTATATTTCAAACTGATAACATTGTAAAACAGCCTTTATTTAACTTTAAATAAAAGATTTTCTTTTGCACCATGTACAGCCAGGCGCAATCTGCATTGGAGGGGTCTAAGACATTATGTATAACTGGCAATATTTTCCCTCTTTCAGAGGAGTCAAAGTCACCATGTATAGCCTGGCATAATCTTACTAATGTGAGGAGGGGTTTTAGCCACTATGTACAGCCTGCCACTATCTCCCTTATCTAGGGAGGATTTTTAGCCACTATGTACAGCCAGGCACTATTTCCCCTCTCTAGGGAAGAATTTTAGCCACTATGTATAGCCTGGCACTATTTCCCCTCTCTAGGGAGAATTTTAAGCCACTAGCTATGTACAGCCTGGCACTATTTCCCTTCTCTAGGGAGGATTGTTAGCCACTATGTACAGCCTGGCACTATTTGCCTTCTTAAGGGAGGAATTTAGCTATTATGTATAGCCTGGCACTATTTCCCCTCTCTAGGGAAGGATTTTTAGCCACTATGTACAGCCTGGCACTATTCCCCCTCTTGAGAGAGAATTTTTAGCCACTATGTACAGCCTGGCACTATTCCCCCTCTTGAGAGAGAATTTTTAGCCACTATGTATAGCCTGGCACTATTTCCCCTCTCTAGGGAGGAATTTAGCTATTATGTATAGCCTGGCACTATTTCCCCTCTCTAGGGAGGAATTTAGCTATTATGTATAGCCTGGCACTATTTCCCCTCTCTAGGGAGGAATTTTAGCCACTATGTACAGCCTGGCACTATTCCCCCTCTTGAGAGAGAATTTTTAGCCACTATGTACAGCCTGGCACTATTTGCCTTCTTAAGGGAGGAATTTTAGCCACTATGTACAGCCTGGCACTATTCCCCCTCTTGAGAGAGAATTTTTAGCCACTATGTACAGCCTGGCACTATTTGCCTTCTTAAGGGAGGAATTTTAGCCACTATGTACAGCCTGGCACTATTCCCCCTCTTGAGAGAGAATTTTTAGCCACTATGTACAGCCTGGCACTATTTGCCTTCTTAAGGGAGGAATTTTAGCCACTATGTACAGCCTGGCACTATTCCCCCTCTTGAGAGAGAATTTTTAGCCACTATGTACAGCCTGGCACTATTTGCCTTCTTAAGGGAGGAATTTTAGCCACTATATATAGCCTGGCACTATTTCCCCTTTCTAGGGAGGAATTTAGCTATTATGGATAGCCTGGTACTATTGCCCCTCTCTAGGGAGGATTTTTAGCTACTATGTACAGCCTGGCACTATTTGTCCTCTCTGGGGAGGAATTTTAGCTACTTTGTACATCCTGGGACTATTTGCCCTCTCTAGGGAGGATTTTTAGCTACTATGTACATCCTGGGACTATTTGCCCTCTTTGGGGAGGATTTTTAGCCACTATGTACATCCTGGGACTATTTGCCCTCTCTAGGGAGGACTTTTAGCTACTATGTACATCCTGGGACTATTTGCCCCCTCTAGGGAGGATTTTTAGCTACTATGTACATCCTGGGACTATTTGCCCTCTTTGGAGAGGATTTTTAGCCACTATGTACATCCTGTGACTATTTGCCCTCTTTGGGGAGGATTTTTAGCTACTATGTACATCCTGGGACTATTTGCCCTCTCTGGGGAGGATTTTTAGCTACTATGTACATCCTTGGACTATTTGTCCTCTCTGGAGAGGATATTCATCCTGGGACTATTTGCCCTGTATTTGAAGATTTTTAGCCATTTCGTACAGCCTGGCACAATCTGTATTGTAGAGGTCTTAGCACTATGAGGAGTTCTCAAACTCCTGCTGGGGGGGNCATTAGAGAGCACATTTAATGAGTTAGGCATGTTTAATGTTTGGTACTAATGAGACCATTTAATCATGGAATGTAAAAACAGACACAACATTTATCTACTATATTTATATTCACATCAAACCAAACATCGTCCTTTAATAATTAATTAGGGATGGGAATTCCAGAATTTATTTTGTTAAATAAATGCGTAAATAATTTAATTTTCTGATGAAATACATAATTAAATAGTGTACATAATGTATCCATTCTTTTCCGATATGCATTAAATCTATTTATAGCAAACAGCCTATTGTCCCATATGATAAACCCAAGCTTTCATTTAGACTTAGAACAAGTATGGATGATGCTCACTATCATAGTTCTCTTTTAAATGTTCTTATATCTAGACTAATGATACAGAGAAATACATTTGCAAGAATGAGCATGATTTTTGATTGTTGATTGTTAATATTGTGAAGTAAATTACACTCTCAGTCTGTATAAAGGTATCGTAAATTACACTCTAAGTCTGTAATAAAGGTATAGTGAATTACACTCTCATTATGTATAAAGGTATAGTTAATTACACTCTCAGTCTGTATAAAGGTATAGTAAATTACACTCTCAGTCTGTATAAAGGTATAGTAAATTACACTCTCAGTCTGTATAAAGGTATATTTTATACAAAGGTACCTGGTATGCATGTTCAGGTATATTTTATACCAAGGTACCTGGTATGCATGTTCTAAATTATAAGATGATACATACAAGTTTTATGAAACAATGTGTTTGTGGTATAAAAATGATATATGGTGGTAAGCTTTTTGGGAGTCAAACTTTGGAGTTTGCCAATCTTGTGTGTTAAATGTATGTGCTTACTGATGTCACACCAGAAACATCTTATCAATGTGAGAGTAATTGGCAATGATCAATGTTGGTGTGACTATCCTTCCCCATAAAATGTTTGATTTGTAAGAAAACTTAAGCTTTGATGGGAGTAAGATTGATGAGTACCCACGGAGGACTACCACAGGCCCCTGTAGTACCATGTGAAGCTGTTTGGGTTACACCCACTACCACAGGCCCCTGTAGTACCATGTGAAGATGTTTGGGTTACACCCACTACCACAGGCCCCTGTAGTACCATGTGAAGCTGTTTGGGTTACACCCACTACCACAGGCCCCTGTAGTACCATGTGAAGATGTTTGGGTTACACCCAATCACATTGAACTTGTTTATTCGTTCGAAAATTATTTACTTCCGGACTGACAGCGAAAACAGTCATTTATTTACAAACAATAACCCTAAGAATCTCTCAGTCTGTAGGAATTTTCTTTGACCAGAGTCCAAACGGCTATGCCAGAGCAGATGATCCATCGCGTTACAAATAAGTGGGCATGTTCTGACGATAAAGATCATTATATACATTTGTAAACAGTGAATGAATTATATGTGGTATGCTGCCAGGCCAATCAGTGTTAGCTGATAGGGTGCGGAGTTAGGAGTTCTCACTACAAGGGGATCGCACCACAGACAGCACCCACTTCAAATAGCATGGAAATATATCTAATGATCCAGCTAACTTCCTACTACAATCAGACTGCAGCCTCACCAATGTAACTCAGAACTGATGTTTACAGGATACACCGAGAATATCTAGGTATTTACAAATCGAATACATCTGGTTAAAACTTGGATAGCAAACAAAAAAAAAGAATTTAACGGTTGTGATATATTGTTAGCCTGTTCCGAGGGATTACTCAACAGACAAAAACTGGAGGAAGTGTGGATTTCCGTGTAAAAATGATATGAATTCTGGCCCAGCATGTGGCACAACAGATAGTTTATGATATGGACTACACTGGAGAGCATGCTTGTTATCACCTCAGCACCGATACATAATACTTGTGGAATTCATAAATGTGGCAACTTTGTCATTTTTACAGACTTTCTGTAGGATAAATAATTCGGTGATACATAAAAACAGGCAGCGTGTTCACAATTCTGTTAAGTTGTCTTTCAACCATTCTTATCATCACCTTTAGTAAGTGGAGTGATTATTCACACTTCTGTGTTATTCCGGGACATCACTATGGAATATTTGTGCACTGTACTGTTAGCGTTCCTACTTTACTGGTCCGCGATCATCCCCGTGTGGGGGATTCCTCGGCACTATAACTCGGCACAGGATACGTGCGTCTTAAGCCTTGTCATCCCCAAGGACAGTATAAAAAACAACTGTGACAACCATGAGGCACTCATGGCCAAACTACAATCGTTAGAGGCCCAGCTACGACAGATGAGCCACCATGTACGGGTCATCGACACACAGCGCATTCAACCAGCAATGACACAATACGCTGATCTGGCAAACAAGGTTGAAAGCATGGAAAGTCAAATGAGTGCAATGACATTAAAAAACCGATATCTAGAATCAAAATATCATGAATTTGAGTCCAAAATTGAAACGTTAAGCAGGTTAAGTTCAAAATCAACAGAGGATTCTGATAGACTACTGGACCCTATTAAACCGTTACTGATGGCAGAGTTTCAAATTCTAAAAGCAAATTTAATGCAGAGTTTAGAACAAGAACTTTTCCATATGTATTCCCGAAACTTTGAGGATACCGGCTCAGCCATGGACATGGACGAGAATTCAGAAAATTCCTCATTGAAGGATTTAGCATTGAAGGGCGATAACTCTATTTTTAGGAATAAAGATCAAGAAAGTGATGAATTATTGGAGGTGGAATCAGTAAATATCAACCAACTTGCTAGATCACTCCAAAAATTAACTAGCAGCCATGACAAGGCAATTGACCAATTAGGAGAAGGTGAAACAGCGCTGGAGAAGGAGGGTCAATCCAATATAACAGTGGACACCAATTCCTCCAGGGTGTTGGATGAACAAGAGCTAGGAAACACATCAGCTGGCATTGATCTGTCAGAGATCCTGAAAGTCTCAACAGACAATACATCAGCAGAGAATGAATCTTCAAGCAACTCATTGTCCTGGGGCACTTCATCAAGTAACACAACTCAGGACATATCACAGTCCGATTTGTCAGTCAAGGAAAAAGACCAGCTAACAAATGAAATATCACAACAACTCAAGGTCATAATACAACGTACTGTTAAAGCAGCTATACAACAACAACAGGAGGAGGTTACCATAGCAACTGTGGTTCAGGACACAGAAACAACAATTTGCTCTCAATGCAACTTTACCGCCAAAATTTCAGAACTTGAAATAAACTTTTTGGAACTGAAAAATAATCTGACAGCAATTTCTAGAAATGACCGGACATCCTCTCTGTTGGACAGTCTCCTAGTCACACAACAGGTGTCTGAATTGAAGGCAGGTCTTGAATCTCTCAGCAGACGGGTTGATGGACCTCAAAATACGCTTCAGCGAGCATCACACTTACAGAATGAGCTTGACATTCTGAAGACACACATTCAAGTAAACCTGAAGGAGCGACTTGAGTCATCCATGACAGCTCTGCAGCAAAGAATGACTATTCAAGAGAGGAACAACAATATGTCAAGTAGTTACCTCAATATATTCAAGCAGACACTACAGAGTTATCGCAACGAGAGTCAGAACATGCAAGCAAATCTGCAACAGAGCATTGACACAGTTCAGTCTCAGCTCAAACATCTCAACAAGTCACGCAACCAAAACTCGGACATGGAAATGCGGCTGAATGACCTTGAGGCTGATTTTGGCGGCTTTGACTTTAAGCAAAATGCTTTTGATGTAAAACTTGATCGCATCAAAGACACCATGGCACAAAATGATCGGGAAATCGGAACCAAGTTCCGGTCTCTTCAGCAAAATCTTCTTCGTATCCAATCTAAGTTTTCAGTTATAACAAATCTGAGTCGCAGTGTTCAGATTATTGGTGTCAAGCAAGCAACAATGGCACAAAAAGTCTCCAAAAACGGACAGACAATGAAGTACTTGTACATCCAAAAGAAGCTGGAGTCGGGAGACTGGATGGAATACAACTTCACCTACAACAGCATCAAGAACAGCTGCAACAAGCTCCAGTATGTCCGCCAGAACAGCGTCTGTAGCGGGACAATTGCAAGATTCGTAGGCGTGATTTTGTGTTCTGAAGACAGATACAAGATTTTACTGGGAAATTCGCTGGATGAGGACTTCCTAGACATTGCAGATGAGCATGGCTATGGTCAGGACCACTGTGAGTTTGTGGGCGGGTCAAGTGAAGCAGATGGTTCGGTGGAAATAGATTTTTCGTTTTTCCCTTCACAAAAAGGTAAGGACACCTGAATATCATTTATGTCAAAGGACTCAAAATGAAAACTGTTTTGTTCAAATGTAGTAAAGTTTAATGTAGAGCTTATTTATCAATTAGACTCATTTATATTACTTACATACATGCAGGAACCTAAATCTAGAAAATGCTGTTCCAAATCTATTTTTGTAATGAACAGAACTGTCTGGAAAAACATTGTATTCTGTATTTGTGTAAGTGACATTAAAGTATGGTTATGAAATACCTGGTAAGTCAAACGAGAGATGAGGATACATTTACGGGTTATTATATGACCTGGTTATATCAGTCCCTAATACTAACATGACTATGGCGTAAAACACACGTCTAACCCTCAGCCCCCTCCCCAAACTATACCCGTCAGAATTCACACTTGTCAAACTGCCCCCCCCCCCCTTCAACTAGCTCCTAAACAACCAAACATTCACACACATCTAACCCCCATTCTATTACCTAACCCCAGATTAACACCTGAATTGTAAGTTGGTGCGCTGTCGGTGAGAAGTATGATGTTCTGACAAACCTGTGTGGTTGTTTGTACACCAATCAGTTCCGAGATATATATCAACAGAAAACCCGTTTGTTTCCGTTACCTACACACAGTACACGTGTTCCTATCTGATAAAGACGACACCATGCAGTAACATAGATTTTAATCTTTCACACGTGATTTAGCACCAAAACTACTAATTATAATTAAGTACAGTAAATTAGCACCTACCAACATTTCTATTTAGATAATTATGTAGAATATATAAATTTCAGAATCAATTCCGTTGCGAAAAGTTTCCACTCCACCATCAGTTTAACGAGTCGCAAAGAGAACACTTCCACACGAGAAAACGTTCCGCTTTTCGAGTATCATAGCGTTAACTCATAAGACTCATTAATCAATATATATTGAAACATATAAATTGCTCACAGTTAAAACCAAAATGAATCTTAATAACCAATATGTCTTTGGAGGCAGGTTTTTATAATAAACAAAACTTGGTAAATTCTCAATCTATCAGTGATCGACAGGTGGTCCTATGTACAAGACGAGATTTAACGTTTAGTTTTAGACAGGGGGTACAAAGTAAACAAGTAGAAGGTTTATAACGATAAACAGGTGCTAGCTATGTTTCACATTAATACAATTTACATATCATTCTATAAAGCTTCAAGGCTATATGTTGGCAAGTGGTCAGAAAACGGAGCCCAATTATTTGATAAGGAGTAAGATCGTTTTTGTTTTCTTACAGACTCTAATATATCCTTTAAAACTCAAGGTAGACAACAACAGTCCATCTTCGAGTCATAAGCAGGGTCCTTCTCACGCCTCACTTTATAATTCATTTAATTGTTAATATACTGATGTAATTCAGTGGCAGGAGGGAGGAGAAAGAAGATGGGGGAGGAGAATTCAAAATGGGGTCGTAGAAGGCAAGATGTACCATAGTTAAGTTGGTGTCCATGATATCTCCATCCTCGATATCCAGGGGTTACACCCACTTTCGCTCTCTACACCCCTGGAATATGTCATAGCAAAATTGAAGTCACTAAGATAGCTGTTTGATTGGTCTGGGGTAAAAATAACTGACCAACCGCTAGGCTGATACCTGTCCTTTAAAGATTACAAAGGAGAGATGCCCGACTTCAAAGCCTGTCAATTTTTACTGTTACGTGACCGTGAGATTCTTTTGATGTATATCAAAGGATCAAACTAGCCTTCTTGTCTCATCAACATGGTGGTGCACACAGAGCCTTCAATTTTGCTATGACATATTCCAGGGGTGCAGAGAGCAAAAGTGAGTGTAGTTCCCCTGGAGATCGAGGATGGAATATCTTCAATGCAAGACATGTTTAAACAATGCAAGACATGTTTTAAAGCTGAACATTTCCTTTTCACAGCATATGTGCGAGCAGAGTGGGGTCAGGAGCCCCGCATTGCAAATATATCCCCCATCTTGACTCCAGTAACAAGATGGTATGAGTGTGGGGTCAAAATACCCTGAGCTACAACTACATCTGACCCCACTGTGACAGGGCGAGTATGAGTGTGGGGTCAAAATACCCTGAGCCACAACGTCATCTGACCCCACTGTGACAGAGTAGGATCTCTATCCAGGAGAATTAGTCTGTCATACCAACAAGAAAAAAACGAGGATGACGATGCTTTCCATACAAAAGGAGATAACTTATGGAAAGCAAACAAAATACAACTTTTCCCATACAAGAGGAGAGAACTCTGGAAGGTAAAGTGTATAGAAGTTGTCCTGTACAGGAGGAGATAACTCTGTCTTACAAAAGAAAGTGGATATAATTTTCCCCTTACAGGAGAAGATAACAATGTGATGAAGAAATATGTTGCCTCTGTGATACAAGGGAAAAAAACTCTAAACAGGAGTAGATAACTCTGTGGTAGAGTACCTGTGTGTCATAAAAATCACTTGTTGTTGACACAAAGAGGCCTTCAAACTGTGGTAAAACATCTGTGTATCATAAAAATAACTCATTGTTTACACAGAGGGGCTATCACTCTGTGACACAAACAATCTAATGAGCTGTACAGTTTGGTGTAGACAGATGAATAAACTATGGGGAGATAACTCTAGATGTGTTGAGGAAGTGGAGAATGAGTAGAGGTCGTGAACTTGGCCTGCTGGAATGTTAAGGTTGAGAACTGTTGCCTGAATAGAGACACTGAGGATATTTGTAAATGGCTGTCATTGTAAAAATATATTAGAATAGAATATTTTGCACTGTTTCCATATTTGACTTATTTTTAAATATTCATATAAAAAAATATTGTGATTGTATGGTTCGATTGATTGTTTTATCTTTGTTTTCTGATAAGGAGAGATTGATATTTGTAAATCATTGTTTGACAAACATTTATTTTCCAAACTGACAATGTGTTTTTAACTGTTCAACAACTTATTTACAAGGATTGAAATTTGAGAAAATGAACAATTACTCATAAAATGTGTATTTATTGTTTAAATGTGTTAAATATTAATGAGAAAAATCACCAAATTTCTTAAATCTTCATTGCAAATTACAATGTAATACAATATTAATATTATGTCCACAGTATATGGACCCTTACCTTGTTGTCTATATAATGTACAGAGATGATATGATCTGGTAGGAATGTCATAGAGATAAGAGATTATTATTCAAGATCATATTTTTTAAAGTTGTGTTGCTGAGTTTTCATAAACTGACATTTTTATTGTTATAAATTTCTTTTATGTGATTGATATGGAAATATCTGTATAAGGCAATAAAACAATAACAAAAACTCCAGTGGCTTTAGTGAAGATTGGACGGTTAGTGACGGAGACTAATCTGTCTACAGGCATATACTTCTGAAGACATTACTGTTTGAAATATGTCTTTTATTAAAAATAAACATTCTGCTGTATCTATATATATTTTCTGAAATCAATAATGATTTTAGTACAGTTCAGCTTTGTTCATATGACCTTGAATTCATTAATATAGTCACAATGACCCAGCAGGAATACCTCTCCTCAGTCAACATCTTGAAAATACAGAGGCTCCACCTGGTGGCTATATGTGCACCACCAGATGGAGCTTAGATAAACACACTCGGCACTGCTTAGTCTACAGGGATGAGAGGGTAAGATGATTTACACTACATGAAAACACATTGTCACTTTGTAGGAACTTGCCACTAAACTAAGGCCTTTTATCAGAGACGAGCATACGAACATCTTATCACTCCATGGGACGTACACATAGCGATATGTACAATAATAATTCATATGTACAACTATTTTCTTTGTCTTTATAACACCTTGTTACTAATGTCAGAGCCTTTTGTATGATGTTGATCACCAATACTACCACTACATGTACTAGACCTGGGGTGACTTTTATACTACCGCTACATGTACTAGACCTGGTGTCACTTTTATACTACCACGACATGTACTAGACCTGGGGTAACTTTTATACTACCACTACGTGTACTAGACCTGGGGCCACTTTTATACTACCACTACACGTACTAGACCTGGGGTCACTTATATACTACCACTACATGTATTAGACGTGGAGTCAATTTTATACTACCACTACATATACTAGACCTGGGGTCACTTTTAAACTTCCACTACATGTACTAGCCCTGGGGTCACTTTTATACGACCACTACATATACTAGACCTGGGGGCCCTTTTATACTTCCACTACATGTATTAGACCTGGGGTCACTTTTAAACTTCCACTACATGTACTAGCCCTGGGGTCACTTTTATAATTCCACTACATGTACTAGACCCGGGGTCACTTTTATACTACCCCTACATGTACTAGACCTGGAGTCACGTTTATACTACCACTACATGTGCTAGACCTGGGGTCACTTTTAAACTTCCACTACATGTACTAGACCGGGGGTCACTTTTATACTACCACTACGTATACTAGACCTGGGGTCACTGTAATCCTTCCACTACATGTACTAGACCGGGGGTCACTTTTATACTACCATTACATGTACTAGACCTGGGGTGCCTTTTATACTACCACTACACGTACTAGACCTGGGGTCACTGTAATCCTTCCACTACATGTACTAGACCAGGGGTAACTTGGATACTACCACTACATGTACCAGACCTGGGGTCACTTTTATTCTACCACTACATGTACTAGACTTGGGGTCACTTTTATACTTCCACTACATGTATTAGACCTGGGGTCACTTTTAAACTTCCACTACATGTACTAGCCCTGGGGTCACTTTTATAATTCCACTACATGTACTAGACCGGGGGTCACTTTTATACTACCATTACATGTACTAGACCTGGGGGGACTTTTATACTACCACTACGTGTACTAGACCTGGGGCCACTTTTATACTACCACTACATGAACTAGACCTGGGGTCCCTTTTATACTACCACTACACGTACTAGACCTGGGGTCACTGTAATCCTTCCACTACATGTACTAGACCAGGGGTAACTTGGATACTACCACTACATGTACCAGACCTGGGGTCACTTTTAAACTTCCACTACATGTACTAGACCTGGGGTCACTTTTATACTACCACTACATATACTAGACCTGGGGGCACTTTTATACTTCCACTACATGTACTAGACCTGGGGTCACTTTTATACTACCACTACATGTACTAGACCTGGGGTCACTTTTAAACAATTGCTCTATACTAGGAAATGTTTACTGCAGTTTTACTTTCACCATTTTTGCCCTCCCTAAGAGAGTGGTTTTATTGTGACTGTATCAGTACACAACATGCTGTTGGTAAGTTACATGTGAAGGTTAAAATTAACACAGGGTGAATATGGTCTTTACGGGTGAAGGGGAATACATGACTCGGTGGACATTTCCTGGTATGCAGTAATCTGTTGTATATTCCAATCCCTTTTTTACTGATGGTTGTCTCCCTTGGTGTCTATATTTTATCTACTTGACTATAATCAAACCCAGTCTGACCTATTCATCAGCAATGAAGAAGTGAGTTTGCAAGTTGTGTGTAAGAGAGATTTAGTTTGTAAGGACAGTGTGACGGAATGGACAAGGGGCATTGTATGGTAAATTAAATCAAATAGTATTAAAATTTGTAAGGGCAGTGTGACGGAATGGACAAGGGGCATTATATGGCAAATCAAATTAAGCTGGTTACTGAATGTGTTGCATAGTGTATAACTTACAGGAATTATTGAATGTGTACTTAAGTATTTTTTTACTTGGAGGAGATATTGAATGTATATAATATAATGTATATTACATATTGGCACCATGTGGCAATAGCAATGCAAATGTTTATGTTTAGATATAAATGTGTACAGTTCAGATTGTTAATCCAGCTAGAGACTGATTCGTGTAATGGCTGCATTTCTCCGGAAGAATGGTTATGTGTCCCCAATTCCCTATCTGGACAGTGGGACAACCAGGCTAGTGGTGGAAGGATTAACGAAGCTCCACTTCATTTGTACTTGAGCTTTTGATATTTTTCAAGTGTATTTTCAGAGATATTTTCAAAAATGTGAAATACATGGAACCTACAAAAACTTGATTATTATCTTTAATAAACTTTGTGTTCACAGTAACATGTATGTTATGTCATTACCATATTAAAAAATTTGGAACTAAGCCAACAATTAGCATAAACAAACTGATTTTTATACAAAACGTGCCAAGCCTATTAATGAGCCCCGACATAATTTGTACATAGTGTTACTGTCAGAGACTTATCTACTGTAACACTGGCTACATTTTATCTACACGATTTACCTCATTTCTTACGTAACTGCTTTATGTAACAGTAATCAACACTGAAACCTTACGATTACCGTGATATCATTCTGATTTCAACCAATTAAAGAGCTGTTAAAAATGATAACATCTGATGATCACTTCCCCCCCCCCCCCCCCCCCCCCGACACTTTTATTGGTTGTTCTGAACGACTTTTATCCCAAAAACAATTCTCTCAAAAATGGTACCTGAACTCTGCTATGTCTGTGCTGGAAATCTGATGAAGCAACCAAACACTGATTGGCCAATATATTAACACACAGTATATTTTTCTTGTTCTGTTATTTCTCGCTCGAAGATCTGTATTTTCAAACAGCCAATAAAACTTCTTTTCTCTTTTTTTCTTTATACAGTTTTTTTAAGAATATAGGATTTTCTGAAATCCATGTTGTTAATATATAAGTATATTAGGACATCTCTTAAAATGGAGTTCTTATCTGCTAGAGGCAAAATCTAAAAATCTAAAAATAAAAACCTGTTTTCAGATTTTCGTTATCATATTAAAATTAAAAACTGTCTTAATCTCATTAGAAATTGGGCTGAATTTTGGTACCACAGATAAGGAGCCTGTTCGTTTATGGGGAACAATGGGTTTTTCTGTTTTTAAATGTAACATGATCGGGTAAAAATCTTGGCAGACCTGTTAAAAGTTTATGCAGGCCCTGCAAGGCCTTGTCAAGGCTCGCCTGAAAGCAGCATCAGATTACTAGGTCCGACCTTATTTCATAAAACGAACAACTCTGGTCCAATCGGTTCAACCGTTTGAATCGCAATAAAAGAAAGCAGCCATGGACAGCTAAGCCTATGTGTGATACAGCTGTCTTGAAAGGTCACTGCGTGGTCAATTTGCACTAAATTAACCTAAAGCAAGTTGTAGGTATTTCTGGACTGTATAATAAATACCCCTTTCTTGACAGTGAATTATCAAATTCTTTTGACATCCTTAATTAATTGTAAATGTTTAGGACTCAGTAAATCCTCATGCATAAATCTACTGCAACTTATCAACTCAAATTAAAACTCCTGTACATGGACAAAGTGTTAACAGTGTAACTAGGTAGGAGTCTTGGTCAGACATCCGTGGTCCTGAGATGTTCAGCACAGCAATGCCTACCTTGTCCAAGAACCAGCCGGGACCAAATCCAGAGTTGTCATGTCCGATACGGACACGTTCCAACCTCCCCAAGCATGGTGATTTCAACATGAACTCGTCCGACCTGGAAGGGGATACAGTATAATATTAGGAGTGGTTCAGGATAATTAACAAAATTAACACCAAGTGGACTGTTATTATAGTGCTACAACAGTGAGAGTTGACTGTTATTATAGTGCCACAACAGTGAAAGTTGACTGTTATTATAGCGCTACGTGCTACAACAGTGAGAGTTGACTGTTATTATAGCGCTACACCAGTGATAGTTGACTGCTATCATAGCGCTATTCCAGTGAGAGATGACTGTTATTATAGTGCTACACCAGAGAAAGTTGACTGTTATTATAGCGCTACACCAGTGACAGTTGACTGTTATTATAGCGCTACGTGCTACAACAGTGAGAGTTGACTGTTATGATAGTGCTACAACAGTGAAAGTTGTCTGTTATTATAGCGCTACAACAGTGAGAGTTGACTGTTATCATAGTGCTACAACAGTGAAAGTTGACTGTTATTATAGCGCTACACCAGTAAAAGTTGACTGTTATTATAGCGCTACACCAGTAAAAGTTGACTGTTATTATAGCGCTACACCAGTAAAAGTTGACTGTTATTATAGCGCTACACCAGTGAGTAGTATAGTGCTACATCAGTGAGAGTTGACTGTTATTATAGCGCTCCACCAGTGAGTATTATAGTGCTACATCAGTGACAGTTGACTGTTATTATAGCGCTACGTGCTACAACAGTGAGAGTTGACTGTTATTATAGTGCCACAACAGTGAAAGTTGACTGTTATTATAGCGCTACACCAGTAAAAGTTGACTGTTATTATAGCGCTACACCAGTGATAGTTGACTGCTATCATAGCGCTATTCCAGTGAGAGATGACTGTTATTATAGTGCTACACCAGAGAAAGTTGACTGTTATTATAGCGCTACACCAGTGAGGATTATCGTGCTACATCAGTGAGAGTTGACTGTTATTATAGCGCTACACGAGTGAGTATTATAGTGCTACATCAGTGAGAGTTGACTGTTATTATAGCGCTCCACCAGTGAGTATTATAGTGCTACATCAGTGACAGTTGACTGTTATTATAGCGCTACACCAGTGACAGTTGACTGTTATTATAGCGCTACACCAGTGACAGTTGACTGTTATTATAGCGCTACACCAGTGACAGTTGACTGTTATTATAGCGCTACGTGCTACAACAGTGAGAGTTGACTGTTATGATAGTGCTACAACAGTGAAAGTTGTCTGTTATTATAGTGCTACACCAGTGAGAGTTGACTGTTATTATAGCGCTCCACCAGTGAGTATTATAGTGCTACATCAGTGACAGTTGACTGTTATTATAGCGCTACGTGCTACAACAGTGAGAGTTGACTGTTATTATAGCGCTCCACCAGTGAGTATTATAGTGCTACATCAGCCAGTGAGAGTTGACTGTTATTATAGCGCTACGTGCTACAACAGTGAGAGTTGACTGTTATTATAGCGCTACGTGCTACAACAGTGAGAGTTGACTGTTATTATAGCGCTCCACCAGTGAGTATTATAGTGCTACATCAGTGAGAGTTGACTGTTATTATAGCGCTACACGAGTGAGTATTATAGTGCTACATCAGTGAGAGTTGACTGTTATTATAGCGCTACGCCAGTGAGTATTATAGTGCTACATCAGTGAGAGTTGACTGTTATTATAGCGCTACACCAGTAAAAGTTGACTGTTATTATAGCGCTACACCAGTGAGTAGTATAGTGCTACATCAGTGAGAGTTGACTGTTATTATAGCGCTCCACCAGTGAGTATTATAGTGCTACATCAGTGAGAGTTGACTGTTATTATAGCGCTCCACCAGTGAGTATTATAGTGCTACATCAGTGAGAGTTGACTGTTATTATAGCGCTACGCCAGTGAAAGTTGACTGTTATTATAGTGCTACCCCAGTGAAAGTTGACTGTTATTATAGCGCTACGCCAGTGAAAGTTGACTGTTATTATAGTGCTACTCCAGTGAAAGTTGACTGTTATTATAGTGCTGGAACAGTGAGAGTTGACTGTTATTATAGTGCTACCCCAGTGAAAGTTGACTGTTATTATAGTGCTGGAACAGTGAGAGTTGACTGTTATTATAGTGCTACAACAGTGAGAGTTGACTGTTATTATAGCGCTACACCAGTGAGTATTATAGTGCTACATCAGTGAGAGTTGACTGTTATTATAGCGCTACACCAGTGAGAGTTGACTGCTATCATAGCGCTATTCCAGTGAGAGTTGACTGTTATTATAGTGCTACACCAGTGAAAGTTGACTGTTATAATAGTGCTACAACAGTGAGAGTTGACTGTTATTATAGCGCTACGCCAGTGAAAGTTGACTGTTATTATAGTGCTACAACAGTGAAAGTTGACTGTTATTATAGCGCTACGTGCTACAACAGTGAGAGTTGACTGTTATTATAGTGCTACACCAGTGAGAGTTGGAGGAACCACTTTATGTAGTGTAAGTTGACTGTTATTATAGCGCTACGCCAGTGAAAGATGACTGTTATTATAGCGCTACACCAGGGAGAGTTGGAGGAACCACTTTATGTAGTGTAAGTTGACTGTTATTATAGCGCTACGCCAGTGAAAGTTAACTGTTATTATAGTGCTACAACAGTGAAAGTTGACTGTTATTATAGCGCTACACCAGTGAGAGTTGGAGGAACCCCTTTATGTCACTGATAATGTTATGGTATCTAAGAAAAAAGGAAGGTTACGATGATTTTGGTGATGTTACATACCGTTTACATCACTTAAACATTTTTGAAAGAAACATACTCACACTTTACTTATGTAACTAGACATGCAAACACTACACCAGTGAAAGTTGACTGTTATAACAGTGCTACAACAGTGAGAGTTGACTGTTATTGTAGCGCTACGTGCTACAACAGTGAGAGTTGACTGTTATTGTAGCGCTACGTGCTACAACAGTGAGAGTTGACTGTTATTATAGTGCTACAACAGTTAGAGTTGACTGTTATTATAGCGCTACAACAGTGAGAGTTGGAGGAACCACTTTATGTAGTGTAAGTTGACTGTTATTATAGCGCTACAACAGTGAAAGTTGACTGTTCTTATAGCGCTACACCAGTGAAAGTTGACTGTTATAATAATGCTACAACAGTGAGAGTTGACTGTTATTATAGCGCTACACCAGTGAAAGTTGACTGTTATTATAGCGCTACACCAGTGAGAGTTGGAGGAACCACTTTATGTCACTGATAATGTTATGGTATCTAAGAAAAAAGGAAGGTTACGATGATTTTGGTGATGTTACATACCGTTTACATCACTTAAACATTTTGGAAAGAAACATACTCACACTTTACTTATGTAACTAGACATGCAAACACTACTGACAAGAGTTTGGAAATCTTGTGTGTAAGGGGAGGTAAGTCTACAATACATCAACTGAATTCTTTCTAAAAAATCTTTGCATCAGCTTTTCTCATTAAATCAAAACTGATTTCATAATTTCATCTGAATTCAAAATCATTTAAAAACACACAATAGCCACAAAATTGACGTGTTTGTAGGTATTTCAAAATAAATTTTTATCCATGCGTAGTTATAACAGGCTAACTTATCAATACTGATATCTCAAATACTGAAGTTTTCCTTATAGTTCTTGTTAGGTCCTATGGTAGTTTGTATGCATTTTAACTTCACTTATTCTGATACACCATTTTTTATCAAGGTTCAAACAATTTTCAAGAAAGAATGACTGATGAAGGGTGCTTACTTTCCACGTCTGAAGTTGTTTGAAGTTGTGTCGAGTCGTTTCTCCCCCGAGTCTCCTGTTTCCCCAAACAAAGTGATGTACACATTGGCGTCTGTACCAGATCCGCGCCCATCACCGGTGTAAACCGTGATCTTGTACTTATTGTCTGGGAAAAAATAATTACAATAGTTGCAAACAGAATATGATATACCGGACAATATATACATATATTTAACAAATATACACGTCATACAAGTATATGTATACTAAATAAGTATACAAACAATAACATCACAACAGACAAGTAAATTTACCAAACACAAATAAATAAATCATCCTAAAATATATATAACAAACATAAATCTTCATCAAACACAGTTACACATTGTTTAACAGCTTTATGATAATTTATGGACATTTTTTCATCAAAGAAGCTTTAAGTTTCAAGAACATTTTCCTTTCATTCTTTAGAAGAATTTAAGTCAAAAACTTTTATTTAACCAAGCACTTAATACCCACCTTTTCTGATACCGAATGGGTCCTTGCTACCGATAAGGTCACGAGAAATGGCACCATCTCCCTCATCTCGTGCAAGCCATTGTCCGCATGGGAAGAAGTATTTCCACTGCTGGTGTTTTAAGTCAGACACCACAATCTATCGACAGGAAAAATGTTTAAACGTCATGTCAATACAAAATAAATTCTTAGTAACAAAAGTAGCCAAAATGTTAAAAATACCAACATTTATCCTGTTTTCCATTGTATAACATCATTACACACAGTTTCTATAACATATGTAATATAACTTTGTGATGTTCTGATATGTAATAAAACGTTATAGACACAATAAGTGCAAGTCATGATGTCAAGTGACATAGAGGCCCGAGTATAATTATGATACTGATGTTTTCTGTGCAGCTAGAAACATTTTATGAAAATAATAATTTCTAGCTTGTTTTCTTTTGAAAGGATTATATTTTTATGCGAATTGGAAAGTGGTGTTAGCGTAATAGGGGTTCAGCAAATACAAATGAATTTGAAGTTCTCCAAAATGAATAATTTATACATCTGTAAATATGTGACAAAAGATTCAAAACTAAGTAATTTTCAGAACTACATAACATACAGGTGAGCAGTTGTTCTTTATTACAAGTGTTAGAAATAAAACACATCTCACCCTCTCCAGGTACCAGCCGGCTCCTATCCCTGTGTTATCATGCTCTATTCGCACTTTACGCATCGGCCCAACACATTTTGTCTTTATTTTGAAAATGTCACTACTGCCTCGTTCAAACGTTTTGCCTGTGTTGTTTTTGAGCGGTATTTTCTCTGTAGCACCGGTTCTACCGTAGATTGTCAGATACACATTGGCGTTAGTTGCTCCATTCATCTTGTCACCAGTCACCGTCACGATCTCGTAAGCTGTAACACGAGACAACAATTACTAAACATAGCTACAATCTATGTGATTTTAGTCACTGTCATCATCTTGTAAACTTTAGTGCTGTAAAATATGTTTATTATATAAAAATATCAAATGCATATTAAATGTGTCGCAACGTTTCATGACTGACTTGTCCCTTTGTCAGGCTATGACTCATTAAGCATGAGTTTGAGTCATAGCTGGACAAAGGGACCTGTCAGTCTTGAAATGTCGCGACATGTTTAATACATACATTGTTCGTGTTGAAAGTGAAACTTTGATGATCCATATTTCAAACTGATGAATCTCGTTGAAGATATCACTGAAAACAACAATTTGTTTTGCCTTACACATTATGAGTAATATTATCTCAGGATCTATTTTGGATCCCCTTATGGATATTTTACTTATATATGTACGATACATAAGGAACATAATTAAAGCTCGTAACAAACAAATCATTTGGGTCCTATCAGTGTCCTTATGTGGATTTCTGTAGCCAACAACTCTATGCTTCCCATTTGGTAGGACGACTTACTGGTATTTGGGGACATGCGAGGGAATAGTTCGCGCTGTGTTTGTTGGTCGCCGTGGACGAGGGACAGCCACTGATTACACACAAACACCCAGCTCTTCTTACTCTTGACGTGGACGACTTCTATCTCCCGAAGGAACCAGGCGTCCTCCTTCTTTGTACCATTGTGCTATTTATGAGACAAAATATCATCATCGATAAAAAAATTGAATGCTAATACCTTAGAATAAAGATGTCAGTGTCAATTTAGCCAAACAACCATATCCTTATTGTAAGTATTACACAATTTAGCCAAACTAACCATTTCCTTATTGTAAGTATTACACAATTTAGCCAAACTAACCATAGCCTTATTGTAAGTATTACACAATTTAGCCACACTAACCATATCCTTATTGTAAGTATTACACAATTTACTCAAACTAACCATATCCTTATTGTAAGTATTACACAATTTAGCCAAACTAACCATATCCTTATTGTAAGTATTACACAATGTTAAGACTGTTCTGCTCACCTCAATGACTACAGACTTAAGGTTGCCCACATTCTGTCCACGGATTTTGAATATGTGAGTGCTATCTCGGGAGAATCGGAAGGCAACATCTTTGTTAGATTTGACAGAACCAGCTTTCTTGGTGAGCCTTGTTTTAGGTATTTTACCCTTCAGACCTTTTAGAGTGACAAAAACCTGGCCAATGGAAGAAGAATACACATGGATTAGTAACATGTAGTCAGAACCTACACATAGACTTTAGGTTTTGGCAAAGTCAAAATGATCCAAGAACGTCACACTGTTCTATCATTAAATATTTCAGTGTTATGATTTTGAGTCCGGTGAAGAGGATCTTTATGGATCCTCTATTGGTAAATAAACTTAACTTAAAGTCAGATCTACCCCAAGTAACATGCAAATTAAAATTGACACAAAGATATATATTTATGAGTCTTACTTTGGCATCTGTGCTTGCATTCTTTAGGTCCCCTGTGGTAACAGCAACCTTGTAGAGTGCTGTCTCGTTTCCTGAGGACTTTCCCGAACCAGTCTTAAATCTCTTACTTCCTCCTGTCATGTAACTACTGGCACTAGAGGGTCGTGACCCCCAGCCTCGTTTCTGTACACAAAAATACAATGTAGTATCAAAGCACTATACGATGTTACCGTAACATAATATAAAGCTTTTCTAAAACTTGTACATTATACAATGTAACAAAAATAACATACAATGTAACAAAGATGTAATACAATGTAACAAAAATGTCATACAATGTACAATGTTTAGTTACAAAAATTAAAGTTTGAAACATACACCATACAATGTTTGTGCAGAAACATTCTAAGCTACAATGTGTTTTATTTCAGTAAAAATATGTTTTTCATAAACATGTAATGATAGAATTTTATTTCTGTTTGTTTTTCCAACTTTATACATAGTAAAACTGGCAAGTTGCCTGAAGTTATTGCTGAACTAAAACTATGTATAGGTAAAATAATTGTTTTGCTTTTAAAACTGCTCTTTTATCTGGACCCTTTATGTGACCCTTCCCAATGCTTACCACTGCAGCAGCTGCCTGTATGAGTCCAAAGCGTCGATCAAAGTATTCTGAGAGATGAGGGTCGTTGAGGGGGTCATAGGGTGGAAAAGGGGGCGTCTTACCCCCTCTGTCTACAGGGTCATACATGGAGTTGCTATACACATCTTTTTTCCGGGCTGTAAACACACATATAAATCAATGATATATAATTACATAAATGTACAATCAAACATACATACTCTTGATAATTCAGTTTTCAACAGCGTACCAAACATAGAATCTTACTTACAAATGAATCATAGCATCTTTTTCATGCAAGAGTCATTCAGTTTACGAGAAATACTGGTCATACTGAAATTGACTTTTAGGGATTTCACAATGGGGGTAAATGGTACCTAACTCATTCCCAAATATAACACTTCACATGTCATCGTGTATGAGTATTGTAGCAGAAAGAATGATACCAAGAGTACCGCTCATCTGTATAAGATGTTAAATACAGGGCGTGGACTTGAAATCGAGCATGGCTTCATCACTAGTAAATAAAGTACATACGTGCATAAGGGGCCCGCCGACTGAACTCTGTATCCCATGTGTGGTGATGGAGTGACACATTGTAATTGGGCCGGGCTGGGACTCGGTCGTACTTTGGTCCACGCCAGGGTTCTGAGTGACTGTTGGTTGTGATGCGTCGCATTGGAGCTGAAAAATAGTAACAAAACAATGTTATTCAGTAAGACAATCTAGTTGTGTTGAAATTATATCAAACATGTCAATTACATCGAACAGGACAAATATCATTACTCAAAATTTCATTTCCATAAAATATTATTACAAATAATAATCTATGGAAATTCATTAGTTCCCTTTGGAGACTGTTCAAAGTCTAAGTTTCATACGTTTCCCGGCCTCCACACCTTGGCACATCAATCTGCTACATACACAATGATAGGTATTTTGTTGACGACCATATACTGTAATGTTGTTAATGTTGTTTTTCCATTCTGGTCAGTTTTAAAGATGGGTTCCCACTATCATTTGTTATTTTTAAACATTACTGACATGCATTTTCTTCTGGTATTTGACTTACCGGTAAGCTAAGTATATAACGTCCCCACAGTATGATATTGTGTAGCAATCTCAGTATATTTTGATATGATTAAAAATCCCATCCCAGCAGGCTGTAAGCTTACCTGTGGTATGCGGTTGTGTGGTACATATACACAACAGATTTATTCTAAAATCCAAGGGTTGTCAGGTTTTACTTTGTCTTTTACTGCACATTTAATACATACATCCACAGCCATACATTGTTTTTGTTAATCAAATGAGCTGTATAATTAGCATGGAAGATACGAGTCATGTTACTAAATGCAACTGTACTGAAACTGTTTTTCATTATCCTAGCACTTTCCTTTATGATTTTCTTTATCTGATGTTGTTTCCGGAAATCAAGAACTAAACTTTGATATTGGAAGAAAAAAGTTATCAAAACCATTTTTATATTTTTAAAACTGGTAGTGAATTACTGCTGAAAATCAGTTGGATAAAATCTTATGTGTATCTGAAGGAATAATTCAGTTAGTATCCCTGGTAAAATTAACTTTGATTAACATGACAAATAATTTCTATTAGATTCTTGGACAAACTACAGTAAGCAGGCAGGGTAAATTTTAACAAGTATCTTGAAAAAGAGGCGAATAATATGTTTCTAATCTATGCATACCAAAAATAAATGGTCCTTTATAATTCTCTTGGGAAAAGTAAAAATAATGATCGACCAAGCATAAATTCCAAACTCATTCAGACTTTATAGGAAACAGATGATTCTTTGAATCTATTTTATAATAAATATCACACCATCAGACTATTCGATATCAGCATAATACTTCACTTGCCAACCTATTGAATGGGGATATTTCGCACGCTCTAGGAATAGTTTAGCAAATTCACTGAATTGAAATATTAAGATAAAGGGTCTTAAATCAGGAGTCTGCCTCCTATCAGGACTCTCGGTTTGATATTCTGTATAGTGCCAGTATGTAGTGGTTATCTCTAGAGATCTACCTGGTTTTCCCCAGGTGACACTAGCTTACACCGCTAGCTTACACCGGCAGCCATCAATACTTAACTACACAATGTACTGACATGCAACTCTCTGCACTAATAGTGCAATGTCATTCTATAGTACACAAGACTAGCCTCAGGTTCAATCTCCTGTTTTTACACAGATGCTATAAATGTTATAAAACATTGATGTTATTTTTAACCTGTGCACATAAAAATTAGCCGAAATACTTGAAGTTTGAAATTGTTACGCAAATAAAGCAGGTTTAATATGTCCTAGAAGTTAACCTGTTCCTATATGTGGCTCGACACAGATTACATAACCCAATCAGTCAGACAACATTGATGAGGGAAAATCAATAAAATCACCGAGGTTAACAACATAATGCTTTACATGATGAGTAGTCATTGATGTCAGAAAGAGCAATGTCATGGAGACTCTTAATAATCTGGGTGCTAAGAATGGTTTCTTCTGGCCAGATTTAATGGAAAACATTAATAGAGGGGACCTAAATAATCTGGGAAGTAAATACAAGTGCTTGTTTCCTGCTGGCTAGCTTTAATGGAAAACATTATTAGAGGAGGACCCTCAATCATCTTTGTTCTATGGGTGCTTGATTTCTGCTGGCTAGATTTAATGGAAGAAAACATTAATTAACAGAGGGGGACTCTAAATAATCAGGGTGCTGTTTGAGAACTCCAAAGCATGCCTATTTGAAGGATTGTCTGAAATAGTTAAATAAAAAACAGTTGAAAATGAAGTGTTTTCCTTTCTTTATAGCAAAATTGTTTGATTCCTCAGAAACCTCCATAACAAATATTACCATCCTGGTAGAAATATTGCCTTCAAAACTTCCACCAAAAAACGATTTTGGAATAAAAATATAAGTCTAAAGCTGGTCAAAATTTAAAATAAACAAAATTTCTGTTTGCCTCCTTACAACCATGTTTAACCCTTGAGAAACCACAATGCTTAATATCACCATCCTAGAAGAATTATTGAGTGTCTATAGTGAATTCAATTAACTTTTCTCTTTTGACATGCTTGCATCAATATTTTACTCCATAGGAACCTCCATGCCAAATATCAGCATTCTGGTATTGAAGATACTGAAGCTGCATTACTGAATTTCAGCACTTACACCAAAACTTCAATAGGGATATTTGGCAAATGTAGTCGATGTTCAAAATAGATAAAAAAATGCACTGCATCAACGTTGGACTCCAAGGGAACCTTCATGCCAGCTATCAGCATCCAGGTACAAATACTGAATGTTATATCGATGAAATTTGACACTTGCACTAAATTAAACATTGACAGACATTTGGGCCGGGCTGACAATAAGGCTGCTTTCCCCCTTCCCACCCTCCTATCTACAAATTGGTGAGGTAAACACCCCCTTCCCCACCCTCCTCTCTACAAATTGGTGAGGTAAACACCCCCCTTCCCCACCCTCCTCTCTACAAACTGGTGAGGTAAACACCCCCCTTCCCCACCATCCTCTCTACAAATTGGTGAGGTAAACACCCCCCTTCCCCACCCTCCTCTCTACAAACTGGTGAGGTAAACACCCCCTTCCCCACCCTCCTCTCTACAAACTGGTGAGGTAAACACCCCCTTCCCCACCCTCCTCTCTACAAATTGGTAAGGTAAACACCCCCTTCCCCACCCTCCTCTCTACAAATTGGTGAGGTAAACACCCCCTTCCCCACCCTCCTCTCTACAAATTGGTGAGGTAAACACTATCACAGAGAACTGACTTGTATTCCTTTCATCTATACTTACTGTAACACATATCTCACCTGTCTAATCAGAATCTCCTACCTGTCAAATAAATCTCACAAGAAGCTGAACTATTAGGAACCATGTCTCAAATATATCTCACCTGTATATCATTATGAGCTCCTACATATACCTATCAATATATCTCACCTGTACAGTACTATGAGGATCTATTACCTGGCAATATGTCTTACCTGTTTTATTAGGAACTTGACTACCTACCTACTATGTATCCAGTAAACCTCACCTGTTGATCCTGTATCATTTTAATGTAAATTTCGGCCTTAAACAAACCAGCCAATAGCTTGTGTAAACCTTGTACTGTTATACCAATGGGGGACATTCCTAAGACACATCAGCATGCAGTTTGTGGATTAAAGTCTCACAACCTTTTATTACTATTTCTTATAAAAGGATCTACTCCTATCCAATGAAAATGTAGCCATTTTTATGATATTTAAAGGTATACTGAAAGTTTTATGATCCACATATCATTGCATTACGGTACATTAGGCGTTAACCTCCCCACATCATGTACAGAGGGTTTCTATCCTACATACTTTACACACACGAGTGTAGTTGTAGTGAATGACCAATCAGAGTATGGTCAGGTATACCAGAGTATGGTCAGGTATACCAGAGTATGATCAGCACACCTGAGTATAGTCACAGTGAATGACCAACTAGAGTATGGTCAGGTATACCAGAGTATGGTTAGGTATACCAGAGTATGATCAGCACACCTGAGTATAGTCACAGTGAATGACCAATCAGAGTATGGTCAGGTATACCAGAGTATGGTCAGGTATACCAGAGTATGATCAGCACACCTTAGTTTAGTCACAGTGAATGACCAGCCAGAGTATGCTCAGGTATACCAGAGTATGGTCAGGTATATCCAAGTATGAGCAGCACACCTTAGTATAGTCGCAGTAATGACCAACCAGAGTATGGTCAAATATACTCGAGTATTTCTAAACACCTGAGTATGATGACAGTGAATGACTGATGAGAGTATGGTCAGATATACCTGAGCACATGACCCACAGATCTGAGTATAGTCATGGTGAATGGTAAACCTGAGTATTGTTAAGTATCCTTAGTTTGACCATTGTACACTGAACACAGTGAACAACGAACAGAATATGGTCTCACCTGAGTAAGATCAAAGTGAACGACAACCAGAATATGGTCTCACCTAAGTATGATCAAAGTAAACGCCAAACAGAATATGGTATCACCTGAGTAAGATCAAAGTGGACGACAAACAGAATGTGGTCTCACCTGAGTAAGATCAAAGCGAACGACAACCAGAATATGGTCTCACCTGAGTGAGATCAAAGTAAACGACAACCAGAATCTGGTCTCACCTGAGTGAGATCAAAGTAAACGACAACCAGAATATGGTCTCACCTGAGTAAGATCAAAGTGAACGACAAAAAGAATGTGGTCTCACCTGAGTAAGATCAAAGCGAACGACAACCAGAATATGGTCTCACCTGAGTATGGTCAAAGTAAACGCCAAACAGAGTATGGTATCACCTGAGTAAGATCAAAGTGAACAAAAAACAGAATGTGGTATCACCTGAGTAAGATCAAAGTGAACGACAAAAAGAATGTGGTCTCACCTGAGTAAGATCAAAGCGAACGACAACCAGAATATGGTCTCACCTGAGTAAGATCAAAGCGAACGACAACCAGAATATGGTCTCACCTGAGTATGATCAAAGTAAACGCCAAACAGAATATGGTATCACCTGAGTAAGATCAAAGTGGACGACAAACAGAATGTGGTCTCACCTGAGTAAGATCAAAGTGAAAGACAACCAGAATATGGTCTCACCTGAGTATGGTCAAAGTAAACGCCAAACAGAGTATGGTATCACCTGAGTAAGATCAAAGTGGACGACAAACAGAATGTGGTCTCACCTGAGAAGATCAAAGTGAACGACAACCAGAATGTGGTCTCACCTGAGTAAGATCAAAGTGAACATATCTCAAAAGTAAGATCAAAGTGAACAGCAACCAGAACAAGGTCTCACCTGAGTAAGATCAAAGTGAATGACAAGAATATGGTCTCACCTGAGTGAGATCAAAGCAAACGACAACCAGAATATGGTCTCACCTGAGTAAGATCAAAGTGAATGACAAACAAAGTGAACGACAAACAGAATGTGGTCTCACCTGAGAAGATCAAAGTGAACGACAACCAGAATGTGGTCTCACCTGAGTAAGATCAAAGCGAACGACAACCAGAATATGGTCTCACCTGAGTGAGATCAAAGTAAACGACAACCAGAATATGGTCTCACCTGAGTAAGATCAAAGTGAAAGACAACCAGAATATGGTCTCACCTGAGTATGGTCAAAGTAAACGCCAAACAGAGTATGGTATCACCTGAGTAAGATCAAAGTGAACGACAAACAGAATGTGGTATCACCTGAGTAAGATCAAAGTGAACAAAAAACAGAATGTGGTATCACCTGAGTAAGATCAAAGTGAACGACAAACAGACTGTGGTCTAACCTGAGTAAGATCAAAGTGAACGACAAACAGAATGTGGTCTCACCTGAGAAGATCAAAGTGAACGACAACCAGAATGTGGTCTAACCTGAGTAAGATCAAAGTGAACGACAGACTGTGGTCTAACCTGAGTAAGATCAAAGTAAACGACAAACAGAATATGGTCTCACCTGAGTAAGATCAAAGTGAACGACAACCAGAATGTGGTCTCACCTGAGTAAGATCAAAGTGAACGACAAACAGAATACGGTCTCACCTGAGTAAGATCAAAGTGAACAGCAACCAGAATAAGGTCTCACCTGAGTAAGATCAAAGTGAATGACAAACAGAATGTGGTATCACCTGAGTAAGATCAAAGTGAACGACATACAGAATGTGGTATCACCTGAGTAAGATCAAAGTGAACGACAGACTGTGGTCTAACCTGAGTAAGATCAAAGTGAATGACAAACAGAATGTGGTCTCACCTGAGTAAGATCAAAGTGAATGACAACCAGAATATGGTCTCACCTGAGTATGATCAAAGTAAACGACAAACAGAATATGGTATCACCTGAGTAAGATCAAAGTGAACGACATACAGAATGTGGTATCACCTGAGTAAGATCAAAGTGAACGACAAACAGAATGTGGTCTCACCTGAGAAGATCAAAGTGAACACCAACCAGATTATGGTCTCACCTGAGTAAGATCAAAGTGAACGACAACCAGAATGTGGTCTCACCTGAGTAAGATCAAAGTTAATGACAAACAGAATGTGGTATCACCTGAGAAAGATCAAAGTGAACGACAAACAGAATGAGGTATCACCTGAGTAAGATCAAAGTGAACGACAACCAGAATGTGGTCTCACCTGAGTAAGATCAAAGTGAACGACAAACAGAATGTGGTATCACCTGAGTATGGTCATATATACCTGAGCACATGACCAACACACCTGAGTATCGTCATGGTAAATGGCCAAACTGAGTATGGCCATATATACTTGGGTATGATCATATGCCCCTTCAAGATTATATGGTTGCGGTGTATTAAATTATGGTCAAATGTACTGGAATACGGTCATATTTACCTAAATCATCAAATAAAATATCTCAATAAATGTAATACCAAATACGGTCAAATGTACTGGAGTACGGTCATATTTACCTAAATCATCAAATAAAATATCTCAATAAATGTAATACTAAATACGGTCAAATGTACCTAAGTATGATGTACATACCTGAATATGGTCTGTCACGCTTGACCACATTATTTCCGGCAGCATAAGGTGGCCGTGGTTCAATATAGCGCATCTGACTAGACAGTGGTTTGTCTGGAAATGACATACATCGCTTGACAGCCTCTGAATTTGTACAAGGTGCCTGCATTCTTCACTGAAAACAAAATACAAATCGGTCATATCACTATCGCCCTCAACAGAAAAAATTAGACCTTTCTCGGATTACTCCACAACACAGACCTGACCTGTTAGCTTATATATGATACATTTACACTTAATACATTATTTGAGTTCCTTACTTTTTCATTGATTTACAGACAGAATGTTGAACTAGCTTCTTGAACTGCTTAGGCCTTATGGTATGAAGGATATGACAAGCCATGAGGTCTGTTTGACACAATGTGTGCTGGTATAAAAATAATAAATATTATCCTGATACAAGTCCTAAAGAACTCTGTCTGGGTGGGAAGGTGACAGAACAATATATATCTGTTTGACACAATGTGTGCTGGTATAAAAATAATAAATATTATCCTGATACAAGTCCTAAAGAACTCTGTCTGGGTGGGAAGGTGACAGAACAATATATATCTGTTTGACTCAGTGTGTGCTGGTATAAAAATAATAAATATTATCCTGATACAAGTCCTAAAGAACTCTGTCTGGGTGGGAAGGTGACAGAACAATATACATCTGTTTGACTCAGTGTGTGCTGGTATAAAAATAATAAATATTACCCTGATACAAGTCCTAAAGAACTCTGTCTGGGTGGGAAGGTGACAGAACAATATACATCTGTTTGACTCAGTGTGTGCTGGTATAAAAATAATAAATATTACCCTGATACAAGTCCTAAAGAACTCTGTCTGGGTGGGAAGGTGACAGAACAATATACATCTGTTTGACTCAGTGTGTGCTGGTATAAAAATAATAAATATTACCCTGATACAAGTCCTAAAGAACTCTGTCTGGGTGGGAAGGTGACAGAACAATATACATCTGTTTGACTCAGTGTGTGCTGGTATAAAAATAATAAATATTACCCTGAAACAAGTCCTAAAGAACTCTGTCTGGGTGGGAAGGTGACAGAACAATATACATCTGTTTGACTCAGTGTGTACATGTCTTGCTGGAGAACAAGTCTAGAAAGCCCAAAGTGACTTACCATTAAACCAATCCCCTTACAATACAAAGCACTGAGATAGGGAGGCAATGCAGTACCCTGAAAGGCTCAGTAGAGTTAATCAAACAGTTATCAAAGACACAGAAAGTGGGAGACAACACACACTGTTATAGAAGTGGAAAATCCATTAGTGGAACAATTTCTTCATATAGGTCCATGGAAAACACTGTGATTTAAACATAGTGTGAAGGCAATGAAGCCAAACACATGTAAGTTAATGAATAATTGACTCAAGATGAAATAAAAAAAGTTAAATAAAATGTGTCACTTTCTTAGATTTTGATCCAATATTATAATATTATATATATATTATAATTATATATCTGCCAACAACCTAGCTTACTGAGGAAACACTGGATGTGACTGACAACATTTCGGTACTTAGTAATGGTAAACTAGTATTAAAATTAAGGATTCAGTCTATAAATTATCAAACTGATGATATTTTTATAAATCTTTTGCATAAATACATAAACATACACATGTGTTGTGACCCATATCAGTATAGCATATGTGTATTTCAGACATTTGTAACATGACCCTGTGATCTACTCGTTCCAAGCAGTACGGACGGAGACCTTCATGGGCTTGTTGACTCCAATCAATCAATCGTTAATTAATCGGCGTTATAAACACCAAGCTACCTTTCATGCTACTTTTCCTGTTTTATACCGTTTATTTTTAGGATTTTTTTTTTTATTTTCAATTTTTTTCTTCTTCAAATCTGACTCCAAAATCATACCTGCACACTATACCTTAGTGTGCACTATACCTGCAAATTAACGGTATGTTTTTTCATTTAAAAAAAACAACCAGAGAGACAGACTATGTACTTATATTTCTATACCAGAGGCACTAACTTAACTCATTTATACCAGAAAAGGGTTGCTCAATCATGCAAAAAAGGTGTCCGGTAACATCAATTATATCAGAAGAGAAGCATTGCAACGTAAATTACGCTCAGCTGTGTCATGTCAGGTAGAGGGGAAACAGCAACCTATAAATCAATGATCGTTACCGTATTGATCCGAACTATGTCGATCCTAACGAGTTTCAGGTAAAACCAACATTGTTTTCTCCAGACACAGGTGCTAAATCATTTCACTTGTATTTTTCAAGAAGTTTAACAAATTAACATAAACCCTAGCCTGGAGTTTCTACTGTTAATGATGGTGTCGGTTTGAATACAATTTCAGGGTCGTTAACCAAAATACAGTGTTTTATGCTCCAGGCAAAATGGCTATAATTAGGTATGTGTCATTTATCGATTATATAGTACATGTAATCACTTACTGGTAAGGATGTAGATACCGGATACCATGGTATACATAATAAACACAAATAGACTGTGGAGGTGTAAAGGATCAGACAGCATATATCTCAGTTAATTAAACATAATACTTAGTACAGGTGGTAGAATATTATCATCTAATGGGTCTAGCACTGGGGTAGGCGAGATACAATTCAATACAATACAGTACAATACGGTACAATACAATATACAATATAGTACAATACAGTACAATACAATACAGTACAATACAATACAATACAATACAATATGGTACAATACAGTACAATACAATACAATACAATACAATATGGTACAATACAATACAATACGGTACAATATAATACAGTACAATACAATACGGTACAATACGGTACAATACGGTACAATACAATACAATACAAATACACAAATACTGAGATGCTGGAGTAAAAAATGTATATATATACAAGTATAATCAGCTGATGTATTTTCAGTCCATTTTTGCCAGAAATTTTAATTCAAACTGGATTGACCACTGCAAATGGTAGGAATATCCTCAATCCCTGGGCACATGTATCAAGACATGTGAAGACTACCTCTAGGCAAGATAAGATATTGGACAGAAGCTTAAGGTGTTCATTTAGGAATAGTCAGTGGTGAAGATAATATTTTTTAACATTTCTAGCAAAAACTTAAGGTTTTTCAATGGGATCTTGATTCAGAGTAAGAAAGGTTCTAACAAACTCTTCAATCTTTTTTATCTTAAATTCTTTGCCCATGATTTCTAAATTTTAGATAATAATGCATTATAAAAATACTTGTATTAATTCAATGATGGCAAAATTAATCAGAACAAATCACCAGTATCCATCACTTCGAAAAGTTGTTTTACTGGCTGGAACTACCATTCACTTTAACTTGGCAGTGCGTTTAAGGATATATGTTACCTCACTGTCATCTACCTCTTTCACAAAAGAGTTCCAAAATAAGACCCCATAAAAAATTGAAGTACCCCTGAAGAGTAGCAGTGATTATGACACCTCTGAAAGGTACACAAAGATACAATCCAGTTCTTCTGCATTATCAAATATTACAACCTTTAATTAATTGTTTTGAAGGGAGATTACACTAACACAAATCGTAGCTTTAATGAACCCATAAGATGATATGGCAACCATTCCATAAAGTTGCTACAATTATCGGTACATACAGATGGAGTCGTACAAGTATTGAAGGCCATATTTGGATGACGTGAAACAAATGTTTTATATGTTTGTTTGTATACACAGGTGTGTATTGAATCTTTCAATACATCATGGTTGTTCAATAAATTCTACATTTCAATTACTGGATATTTGTGAAATAACCAATGAATATTATAAGTGCAAAAAAAGCACCTCTGTTCACCGTACCTGCAGCATCTTAAAATATGATATATTGTCAACAGTTGCTGGATACACACAAAAGTATATATATATATATTTTCCTGTTGTTGTTTTGACATTGCCAGCGGATATAAGACACTTCAATTGATAACTATATATATATTTATGTTGCCAAGATGCCATGATTATCTTCAATGTCTGTGCCTTTACTGGCACTGTCATTCTTGAAATTCTACAGCTTCTGGTTGGCCTTTCTCCGAGCCCCCCCCCCTCTCTAACCCAACCCACCCCCTGGACCCANTTGGCCTGGCCTACGTTATGTATTTTCAAGTGGATACTTAATTACAATAGGTGGTAAATGAGGCCTTTTCTTGTATCCTTATACTAATTCAACAACACAGTAAATACATACTCCACCTTTAGTTACATGTCAGTTTTTGTATAGGTAAGACGTTTTTTACACTATTAAATCACTGATTATATCATCAACAATGTTTCCACCTCAAACAGGGATTTCACTTATACTACATCCATCATTTAGGTAATTGACAAACCTGTAATGTCAGCACTCTATACTACTGATAGTTACATACACAGTCGCACGGTGTACTTTGTAAACAAACAACCGGTCGTTGTGGAAAAGGCTAGCACACTGATATACCACATAGACAACGAGGAAATAAACAGAAATGTCACCAACCTTTCGTACAGGTAATTCCACGGTAACGAGCACCTGTTCGGTGCTTAGTATTGACTATTGGTTAAATAATATCCTTTAAGTATCCCGTTTAGTAGCCCTAGTTCTGCTGTTGATTAAATGTATACGGGTCTGCCATTTTGTACGGGTATTCCTGGGTACTCGGACATGTAGTTTCATGTAAACACGTGGGAACTAGTCCCATTGAAGCCAGGGCTAGTAGGATTTGTATGCCATTGTTTACAAGCGTTGCCTGAGTTTCACAACACATGCGCACTGGCAGCCATTCATTTCGCGCCGTTATACATATTTACATCACCAACAACTAGTTAGGCAACCTACTATCGTGTTCACTAATAAATGTTCGTTTCTTTTAAGATTGATTTATGGTAATATATACTATGAGTCAAATTTTAAAATGTTTTTCTTTAATATTATAGCTATAGAAATATTACGTCGCTGTTTATCGTCGCTGTTCATGAGACCAGAGACGTATAATACATGTATTATACGTCTCTGGTGAGACGTAATAGGCCTACTAGGGCTTTACATGTTAAAAAGATTTATATTTGTTCATTTTTAAATGCAAATTTCTCGATAGAAACTGAAACTTCAACTACTTACGTGTAATAATAAGCATTAATGCCATACTTAACTTTGGCACAACAAATATAAATGTGAAGATACAATTTAGCTTACACAGGGACACGATACTTTGTTACTGTTGGTGTGTTTGGACTTATCCTGATGTAATCTAAAACTTTAAGACATGTAATATCAATCGGTTCCCACTAGGTCCAAACATAGCTGTACCTAAAAGGGTCCCTGTGATAGCTCATTTCGAAAACTCTCATGAGTTATGTCCCCTGATTGGCTTCGATTTAAACAAATAATTACATCTTGTACCTTTATTCGAGTCATTATGTGTGTAATATTTCACACAGACATAATTTATGCATAACGTAACACCACGATATCAAAACAGTCTCACTCCTATCCTGATTGCCATTTCAACATCCATTGCTAGCGGCTGTAATTGCACAAGGTACACAGTAATCTTGTTCATGTCCGCATTTCTAGGGAAAATATCAAAATTCCTAAAACCAATTGCCTCAACATGAGAACATGAAATTCCATATCTAGTAATTTTGATTTTTTTTTATCACATGCATTCCAAGAAAATATAAACAGCGGCTGAGGTTTTCGTTATACCCCCTGTCAGAAGACACTATAAGTTTTTACTTCTTGGAGTTGAAGAAAGCGAGGACTACAGACCGGACGTTCCAGTGGACCGCAGTAGCTGCGAAAGCCTAACGGCATGGCCTGATGGACTACCGCATCTGAGGAGCCGTCCGTCCTTAGAGCGTGACCTGAAATGGGCAGGACTTTTTTGAATCTCCGAGGGCCCGGTAAGCTGGAGTCTTACCCCCTCAAGTCGACCGAACACAGACATTAGTCAGTGAAGTGTAGACTATAAACACCTCAACCAACCAACCAAGTTGAAGAAACATGTCAATTCCTTTATAGACATGAAACAATTAATATATTTTAAGACATTGTAATAAATTCAGTTTATTTGCAATATATAAGTGTAGGTACAATTATGCACGGAAAGTTCTGAAAGCCGTGAATGAGCCTATTCTTTATCTGTTAATAGGACAGCATATAAATGAACGGTGTAATAATATACGTACTGCATAATTATATTTCATAGCAATTAATTTCGGATCCAAAAGCCTTGGTAGTTGAGATCAGGGTTTGGGGTGGATGGGGTGGGAGTACGTGTTTTTTTTACAGACAACAAATTTTGACAAGAAATCATGGGTTAATTCTTCGTTATTCTTCGTTCGACAAATTTCACTTGATCATTTTATCTGTGAAAAAGTACTGCTAGAAATGATATTGTTTCATATCGTATTAACGACGGATGGGATTGTTTTCTCGTAATTACGCCATACAAGATGATTTGATCGTAATTGCGTTTATTGCATTATACGGGACACCAAACTATATCGTTCTTTCATATTTACTACGTAAATATCCGGGAAGGACTCTAGACTATCACTACGTACTTCCCAATATGCCGTTGTCCGTTGGTACAGCTAGGAAGACTAGATTATGCTTGACAAACAGTGCTCTTAGCACATGACGCTTGTTATGCACGTAGGCCCACCCTATACATCTACATTCTATTACCTTGCTGTAGTAATTGAAACACGTTAGTTGTCACGTATCGTCGAAATTCCCCCAAGGAAAATCGATGTCTATCATTTGATCTATACACATACCATTCAGTAGTGCTTAGATATATATCCAGGTATATCAAAGAGAATATGTTTTGATAGCAATGCGAGTCACGCACATTCATTACGCGAGACTTTTATTAGACAGGTGAGAATTGATCCACGCGTAGTTGTATTCCTATATTGCTCTATTCATTATAAGATATTTGCGTGTTCTATAAACAAGTCCAAAATACGCAATGCACCTGCAAAAGGGTAGCTAAATGACACCCTGTGTGTATTCTGTTGGGAATGTGTTCGTGCTTATTGTAAGATCTATAAGATACAATTCACAAACTTTACGGCACCCCTCCCCAGTTCTTTGATGCTGGTTCGGATGTGTTTGTTAACACCCCAGGAAATATGGTGAGCTAGAACAGTTTAAAATGTCATCTCCTAAATGTATATCGTTGCCATAAAGAGAAGCATTTAAATATTGTTTTGAGAGATCGATTTTAAATCATCTGAACTTCATTATAAGTTTTAATATTTCTGATATCAAAACTCTCAGTTAAGTAACAGGTAAAGGAAATATAATCACTGCAGAATCTGGATGGATCTAAGCGCGACGCATTTATTATTTTCATGAACCTATATATATGCATTTTCGGATCCCGGGGAATGGGGTTATCCTTAGGTTTAGATCCCCCGCCTCTTTTTTCATTTCCAAAAATCGTACATGCAACGTCTGTGGGAGAAGGGGAAGAGGGTGTCGTCCCCCCTCCCCCAACGCAAAGGCTTTACGATCTTCACCAAAGACATCAGACCGGTCTAATGACTGAAACGGACTACTGGGTTTCGGGATGGGGTCGGAAAATCGGGTTAAAACTGTAGCGGAACTAGACTGGGTCGATCGTGGGCGACCAGGTAGCTCAATATGGTAGAGTGTCCGTCTAGAGTTAGGGTCCCGGTTTCGAACCCCGGTCTGGCCATGGCCATGTATTTTCCCGCTCCTATTACATTTGATGCCCGTGATCAACCCTTGTTTCAAGTACTGGGTGAATACCTCACAAGGGCATACCCAAACCAGGGTTGTTAATAGTTAGTGTCTTCGGGGGCAAAGCCTTAGACAAAGGAGGGAGGAATGTAGCGAAACATGACTGGGTCGGTCGTCGGCGACCAGGTAGCTCAATTGGTAGAGCGTCCGTCTTACGCAATCCATATATTAAACCTTTCTATACCAGACATACAAGTATGTATAAATGTATTGAGTTGTTATCCAAAGAAAAGAAAAAAGAAAGAACTAATTTGGCCAAATATATAAGAATCGCTAGTAGAAGACGACAAAATGTACTAAATTAAGTCAATTGTATCTAGTGTTTGTCAGTAATATATTAATATGTCCTTATCGTCAAATATTATTCTGTAAGTACGTTATTTTTAGCAATGCAAGCCATCTTTCTACACTTCTAGGAGTAGGTGCGGAAGTGGTGTACGTGTATGTATTTTGTTGTTAAATTGTGCACAACTGACCGTAACGAGGGGAGGTAACTCTTGTAGGGTTGAGTTTCACTGACACATTTGTAGTCTGCTTGGGTATCACTTCTGTCACGTCTTTCAAAGTAGGTCGGTATACAGGCACCTGAGCTGGATTACGGGTTTATTTTGTACCACTTTAAGACATTGTATACACAAACGCATACATGCGTGTACTGTATATTTCACCGTACACACAGGAGACAGTGAGCAAGTAACGAGATTACACCTTATGTCTCTGCATAGCCTATACCTGTACTGATGCTCATAAACTAGCCACGGGACCACAATACCCGCCAAAATGGTAAGGAATGGTCTTTTTGTCACGCGCATACATCTGTCAAAGTACCAGGAAACTGTGACACAATACATATATATTTATGTAAGTGTATGTGTTTTGTGCACATGCACGTGTCATCAACATGACCTATGTAACGGTTCAGTGCGCAGTGTATATGGTAGATACGCTAAGTTGGGCTATACTATAAATGGTTATTGTTCCTGTATCATCAACCTTACTGAATAGAATGTGCCAAAAGAAGAAGTAATTAATTGATTCCTTATCATATATACACAAACAGTGCAATACTTTTTGATGACAATACAGGTAAATTGTAAGTTACAATCCGGTTATGTTGATGCTGAATACAGAGTTTTGTCCCCTAAACAAACTACATTACTCGCTTATATGTCAAATGTAAATATAGACTTAATGATAAAGAACTACTAACTTCAACTAGTGAAAAGGATATTGGAGTAAAGATATATATATATAGCCAGACTTATTTGAACATCATATAAGTGAACAAGTGAAGATACAAATGTCTTGTCTGGTCGCAACTTGATTATGCAATTGTAGTCTGGTATCCATAGAATTACAAACATATTGATTTAATTGAAAATGTTCAACGCCGAGCCACCAGATGCTTACCTGGACTACAAAAATTATCATTTGAAGTAGAAAGGCTTAAAAGTCTTTATCTACTTACTTTATCATTAGGGCGTAGGTGTGGGGACATGATTGAAGTTCCATAAGATGATCAGTGGCGTATATCACTCGGACAAGGAATGATGCACTTCTGTAAAATTATGGTCAGATGTGGCCATCAAACACAGTGAAAGAGGAAATTCCAAAAACTTGTTTCCACAAAGGGAAAACTCATCACTAAGAAGGAACTCTGTCACTGTGAGAGCAGCACACATATGGAACAATCCACCAGAATCTGTGATTCTGCTCCAAACACAAACTGTTTTAAAATTAGACATGACAAGTTTTGGGAAAACCAAGACCTGATTTATAATTAATTACAGAGCCAAACTTTTGATATGAACTTTAATCAAAATTTAACAGAACTGAACTGTCTATATTATTTATATTACAGTGTACATTTTGTTTAAATCATTAGTATTGTTATGTACTATGTATTGTATGTTCAAATCCTCTACCAGAATAAACTTAACTTGATTTCGCATCAATTATTGTTGATATGGCCATGGAATTAGATCAAAGTCAGTGATATGGCTAATTCTATATGTTCCTTTACCAAAATCACGACTGAAACTGTTCCAACTGAAAAACACCCACAGCTGGAGCAGGCACAGTTGTCGGCATACTTTTCTTCATCTGTATTGTCATTTTCAGAGTATTTAGTTTTATATTAGAATTTCACCGACCCCACAAAAACATTCTTTAGAACAGAATTCAGTCTTTGATGTTAACATACTATTGAAAGCTTTCATGGTTGATTTCTGTTAAATTCACCAGTTTTCAAAGTTAAAATGTTACAACTCTTTTTTTTCTTATGTTTACTCCATTTTGAAATAAATATTTTTTTATGCGATTTATTCCTACCAGTGCTCTGTTTTGTGACCCAAAAACTCACTTTTGATAAAACATTTGCATGAGCTTTTTTGTAAGGAATGCAACAAGACATTGGTGCACTCATTAAGAAAGGGAAGATCTGGAAATCAAGGAGCCCAAAAACTGGTCTTACACCGCACGTCCTGTGAAAAAGATCTGTCCTATATATATACTAATGATAAAAAGCGACAGCAAGAATTATTTAAGATGGAAGACAGACAGACAGACGAAGGGACATTTGGTGGGATAAAAAAAGATATCTTCATCTTATAAACCGTTCTCAAGTCATGGTGACCTAATGTCATATATAAATAAAAACACCAGATCACAAATGTCAAATGTGTTAAAAACAAAAGCGTCAGAAACAGAAACCCAGGTGAGAAGTCAAGGTATGTTAGGTGTTTGCCTGTAGAAATAAAAACCCAGGTGAGAAGTCAAGGTATGTTAGGTGTTTGCCTGTAGAAATAAAAACCCAGGTGAGAAGTCAAGGTATGTAAGGTGTTTGCCTGTAGAAATAAAAACGCTAAACCAGGTGTATGTGTAGGAAAGACAAAGTTTGATGAATCTTGTGTTTGTTTTCTACTACAAGCTTGTGACAAATGACAGTAAAAATGATCAGAAGAAACCTGTAGCAGTGATGTTTCCTCCGTCATCACAGGAGCCAACAGCAAGGGTGGTCTTACAGGAGCAGGGGAGGAGAAAGGGCGAGGAATTCGGATTATCAGAGGCAGTTACCATCAAATACTCTTATCCTGTAAGTACTTATAGTATAGGGGAGGAGAAAGGGGGAGGAATTCAGATTATCAGAGGCAGTAACCATCAAATACTCTTATCCTGTAAGTACTTAAAGTATAGGTGAGGATAGGGGAGAAGGATGGGAGAAGGAGGAGGCGGAGGAGGGAGGGGGAATTAAGTGTTTGTATTGTCAGAGGTTTTCAAATTTCATAGGCAATAAAGAACAATGACTTACTTTGAGTATAGTATAGTAGATCAGGTTGGTACTATTGAGATTTACATTAGAATAATTTTACCACAACTTTCGTATACAATTATAAAATTTCTTCTGCCAATCATGTCTTTCACTCAAGTTTAGAGCTGATGAAATCATGATTTAAACTAAATCTTATCCAGAGGTATGGTGATATGTAAATATCACTGAAGTGAAAATTTTGAATTTATTTCTGAACATACCACATAAATTTGTAATGGATGTCCAGATCTATAATGATAATTTATCACTGATATCAAGATCTATAATCTGATTTTACCAACATGTCTTCTGTAGATGAAAATCCTTGTACCAGAACATATTGGCAATGGTACCTGTCGCTGGATTTTCCCCGTCACATTTGGTGGAGGGTTGGTAGGCGGAGACAAGGTTTCCATGGAGATTGACATCCAAGATGGCTGCTGTGGTCTACTGACAAGTCAAGAAGCCACTAAGGTCACTGAGTACATACATGGAATAGAAATCAATTCAGTACAGGATATTAAATCAGTCATAGCAGAGTATTTGTTGCTGAAATAATTTTTTATCACATAATGTACTGTGTTATCCAGTGAATATACCCATGTCATAATTTTGCATATTAACCCATGTAATATGACCAATCAGCCCTGTGATTGGTCGGTTGTTTCAATTATGACGTTACGTCTAGGACAAGTATATGACGTCGAAGACTTACGTACTGGAGTCAAAATGGAGGCTTTTTACATTTCAAAGTTGCATGAAAATTGTCTTTTTACACAAATAAATGCCACAAATCTAGATCATGTGATAAAAAGGATCTAACACTCGTTTTCATTTCATATGAAATTTATGAAACTCGTCACAAACTTTACATTTTAGCTCGCCAGAGGCTCGCTAAATTGAAAAATTCTTTTGACTCGTTTCATAAATCTCATATGAAATTGAAACTCATGTAAGATCCTATATGTAACTTATATATGTATCTTATTGAGATTGAATATTTGCTGATATAATTCTCAACTATTTTATTGCCTGGAAATAAGTTCATCAATTCAGGCATAAATTTTCATGACATACATTGATGATGAATAGAATTTCCAGTCTTTATTATTAGCTCACCTGGCCCAAAGGGCGTCCGTGGTCCATTCGTCCATCGTCCATCCATCAGTTGTCTGTCGTCCGGTGTCAATATTTTACTTTAAACAACTTCTTCTTAATAACCAAAAAGCCTAGGGTGATGATATTTGGCCAGGAGCAAAGTGGGATGAAGGGCAACCAAGTTTGTTCAAATGAATGACCTTCACCTATTTTCAAGGTCACAGGGGTCAAATATGTTTAAAACCTTTAAACAACTTCTTCTCAATAACCGAAATTCCTAGGATGATGATATTTGACCAGTAGCATGCTGGGATAAAGGGCAACCAAGTTTATTCATATGAATGATCTTTACTTATATTCAAGGTCACTGGGGTCAAATATGTTTAAAACTTTTATACAACTTCTGAATAACCAAGAGGCCTAGGATAATGATATTTGGCCAGTAGCATGCTGGGATAAAGGGCTATCAAGTTTTTTAGGTCACCTGAGCTAAAGCTCAGGTGACCTATTGCTATCCGTTTTCGTCCGTCGTCGTCCGTCGTCCGTCGTCCATCGTCCGTCGTCCGTCGTCCGTTAACATTTTACATTTCAAACTTAAAGTCAAGTTCTGCTGGGCCGATTGAACTGAAAGTTGGTAGGAATGATCGCCTCATGGTCCTGACAAAGTGTTGTTATTTTTCGGGTCGATCAGAAATCCAATATGGCCGCCACGGCCACCATTTTGAAAACCTATTTCAAACTTAAAGTCAAGTTCTGCTGGACCGATTGAACTGAAAGTTGGTAGGAATGATCGCCTCATGGTCCTGACAAAGTGTTGTTATTTTTTGGGTCGATCAGAAATCCAATATGGCCACCACGGCCGCCATTTTGAAAACCTATTTCAAACTTAAAGTCAAGTTCTGCTGGACCGATTGAACTTAAAGTTTGTAGGAATGATCGACTCATGGTCCTGACAAAGTGTTGTTATTTTTCAGGTCAATCATAAATCCAATATGGCCGCCACGGCCACCATTTTGAAAAACTATTTCAAACTTAAAGTCAAGTTCTGCTAGGCCGATTGAACTGAAACTTTGTAGGAATGATTGACTCATGGTCCTGACAAAGTGTTGTTATTTTTCGGGTCGATCAGAAATCCAATATGGCCACCACGGCTGCCATTTTGGAAAACTATTTCAAACTTAAAGTAAAGATCTACTTGGCCGATTGAACTGAAACTTTGTAGGAATGATCGAATCATGGTCCTGACAAAGTGTTGTTATTTTTCGGGTCAATCAGAAATACAATTTGGCTGCCATGGCCGCTATTTTGCTACTAAGTTCTAATAGGCCGATCTCACTTAAAATTGGTCTAGGAATGATCAGCTCATGGTCCTGACAAAGTTAAGTTAACATTATACTATTTTTTACTCAAATTGGTACATATTTCAACAACAAAAATAAATACTGTAGACTCAGGTGACCGTTAAGGCCCATGGGCCTCTTGTTTCAAATGAATGACCTTTACATATATTCAAGGTCACAGGGATCAAATATGTTTAAAACCTTTAAACGACTTCTTCTAAATTAGCCAAAGGCCAAGGGCGATGATATTTGGTCATTAACAGGCTGGGATGAAGGGCTACCAATTTCAAGGTCACAGTGGTCAATATATGTTTAAATCTTTAAATGACTTGTTCTATATAACCAAAAGGTCAAGGGATGAAGGGCTACCAATTTCAAGGTCACAGTGGTCAATATATGTTTAAATCTTTAAATGACTTGTTCTGTATAACCAAAAGGTCCAGGGTAATGATATTTTGCCAAAAGCATGCTGGGTTGGAAGACTTTAAAACTCTGTTCAACCTAATGTCCTTGTTCGACATGCAAGGTCACAGGTGTCATATGTTTAAGTCTTTTAATAGGTTCTTATGAATTAAACACTGATATTCTGCATGTAGCTGTATTTTAGTCCACTTTTAAGATTACAAGTATGAGATTAATACCAGGTGAGCGATTCAGGCCCATTGGGCCTCTTGTTTTTCCCCCCCTATTTAATTTAAGAAAACTGCATTCCAGGTCTATCATTGTGAAGATGTAAAGGAGACAACCCAGTCCTTTAAATATACAGTTGGTAAAGAGGCCCTGCTTTGTGTGTTACCAGACTACATTGTCTGTTACAAGGACGCAGCCTATAAACAGACACAGGTACGTCATGGTTAACGAGGTATGTCATGGCTAGTTTACTCAGGTATATCATGTTTACTTTGGTAGGTCAGAAACTATCCCATTTTTCACGTTATACCAATTTACATTATCCAGGTATATCATGTTTACTTCAGTAGGTGAGAAACTATCCCATGTGTAACGGTATACCAATGTACATTATCCAGGTATATCATGTTTACTTATCTAATAGTAGCTCAGAAACTATCCCGCATACCATTGTACATTATACAGGTAATACTTGCTGCCGAGTTAGGTCAGTAACTATCCCATGTGTCATGTTAACCAATGTACATAATGGTTTATCAGGTAATACTTGCTGCCCAGGTAAGTCAGAAACTATCTCATGTGTCATGGTACTGTATACCAATGTACCTCATGGTTTATCAGGTAATACTTGCTGCCAAGGTAAGTCAGAAACTATCCCATGTGTCATGGTAACCAATGTACATGATGGTTTATCAGGTAATACTTGCTGCCCAGGAAGGTCAGAGACTATCTCATGTGTCATGGTAACCAATGTACATGATGGTTTATCAGGTAATACTTGCTATGTGTCATGGTACTGTATACCAATGTACATAATGGTTTATCAGGTAATACTTAATGCCCAGGTAAGTCAGAAACTATCCCATGTGTCATGGTAACCAATGTACATCATGGTTTATCAGGTAATACTTGCTGCCCAGGTAAGTCAGAAACTATCTCATGTGTCATGGTACTGTATACCAATGTACCTCATGGTTTATCAGGTAATACTTGCTGCCCAGGTAGGTCAGAGACTATCCCCTGTGCCATGGTAACCAATGTACATAATGGTTTATCGGTAATACTTGCTGCCTAGGTAGGTCAGGAACTATCCCCTGTGCCATGGTAACCAATGTACATAATAGTTTATCAGGTAATACTTAATGCCCAGGTAGGTCAGAAACTATCCCATGTGTCATGGTACTTTATACCAATGTACATCATGGTTTATCAGGTAATACTTGCTGCCTAGGTAGGTCAGGAACTATCCCCTGTGCCATGGTAACCAATGTACATAATGGTGTATCGGGTAATACTTAATGCCAAGGTAGGTCAGAAACTATGTCATGTGTCATGGTACTGTATACCAATGTACATAATGGTTTATCAGGAAATACTTAATGCCCAGGTAGGTCAGGAACTATCCCTATCCCCTGTGCCATGGTAACCAATGTACATAATGGTGTATCAGGTAATACTTAATGCCAAGGTAGGTCAGAAACTATCTCATGTGTCATGGTACTGTATACCAATGTACATCATGGTTTATCAGGTAATACTTGCTGCCCAGGTAGGTCAGAGACTATCTCATGTGTCATGGTAACCAATGTACATGATGGTTTATCAGGTAATTCTTGCTATGTGTCATGGTACTGTATACCAATGTACCTAATGGTTTATTAGGTAATTCTTGCTGCCCAGGTAGGTCAGAGACTATCTCATGTGTCATGGTACTGTATACCAATGTACATAATGGTTTATCAGGTAATACTTGCTGCCCAGGTAGGTCAGAAACTATCCCATGTGTCATGGTAACCAATGTACATAATGGTTTATCAGGTAATACTTGCTATGTGTCATGGTACTGTATACCAATGTACATGATGGTTTATCAGGTAATACTTGTTGCCCAGTTTTGTCAGGATAACTTGGGTATATGCTGGTTACTCAGGTAGGACATACATGACCCATGTATTACTCAATATACATCATTGTTACTAAGATCAATAATGGTTACCAGCAATAGGTAGATAATGGATATTTAAGTATGTTTGTGGTAATGTATTCTTGTGGTTAATAGTACTTGGCTAAGTTATGATGGCTAGGGTACACCAGGGTTACAGGAGGTATGTGTATCAGGGTACTCAGATATATCTCAGTAACTGTACACATTGTGGTAACCTGGACAGTTAACAGTTACTTTGATATGTCATGGTGACTACTTCAGTGCATATCATTAAGGTGAAGTGTGATGATTCCTTACTGCATGACTAATTCAGTCACAAAACAATGTGACTCTGACTGTCGACTGTTTTAGGAGATACAGCTGTGTAACACTGCCAATGTTGTGTACCTGGACTGGCTGACAGCTGGCAGGATAGCTAGAAACGAAGAATGGCAGTTCAGCAGGTAATATTACCAGTTCAGTACCCAGGTAACACTTAACAGCCGGACTCTCCACCTCATAGGTAACACTTAACCACCGGAATCTCCACCTCACAGGTAACACTAAACCACCCAACTCTCCACCTTACAGGTAACACTTAACCACCACACTCTCCACCTCACAGGTAACACTTAACCACCGGACTCTCCACCTCACAGGCAACACTTAACCACCCGACTCTCCACCGCACAGGTAACACTGACCCACCCGACTCTCCACCTCACAGGCAACACTTAACCACCCGACTCTCCACTTCACAGGAAACACTTAACCACCCAACTCTCCACCTCACAGGCAACACTTAACCACCCGACTCTCCACCGCACAGGTAACACTGACCCACCCGACTCTCCACCTCACAGGTTACACTTAACCACCGGACTCTCCACCTTACAGGTAACACTTACCCCCCCGACTCTCCACTTCACAGGTAACACTTAACCACCCAACTCCCCATCTCACAGGTAACACTTAACCACCCGACAGTCTCCACCTCACAGGTAACACTCAACCCCCTGACTCTCCACCTTACAGGTAACACTTACCCCCCCGACTCTCCACCTCACAGGCAACACTTAACCCCCCGACTCTCCACCTCACAGCCAACACTTAACCACCCGACTCTCCACCGCACAGGTAACACTGACCCACCCGACTCTCCACCTCACAGGCAACACTTAACCACCCGACTCTTCACCTCACAGGTAACACTTAACCACCCAAATCTCCACCTCACAGGTAACACTTAACCACTCGACTCTCCACCTCACAGGTAACACTTAACCACAGGACTCTCCACCTCACAGGTAACACTTAACCGCTGGACTCTCCACCTCACAGGTAACACTTAACCACCCGACTCTCCACTTCACAGGTAACACTTAACCACCCAACTCTCCACCTCACAGGTAACACTTAACCACGGGACTCTCCACCTCACAGGTAACACTTAACCACTGGAATCTCCACCTTACAGGAAACACTTAACCACCCGACTCTCCACCTCACAGGTTACACTTAACCACCGGACTCTCCACCTTACAGGTAACACTTAACCACTCGACTCTCCACCTCACAGGTAACACTTAACCACCCAACTCTCCACCTTACATGTAACACTTAACCACCCGACTCTCCACCTAACAGGTAACACTTAACCACCCGACTCTCCATCTCACAGGTAACACTTAACCACCCGACTCTCCACCTTACATGTAACACTTAACCATCCGACTCTCCATCTCACAGGTAACACTTAACCACCCGACTCTCCACCTCACAGGTAACACTTAACCACCGAACTCTCCACCTCACAGGTAACACTTAACCACGGGACTCTCCACCTCACAGGCAACACTTAACCACCCGACTTTCCACTACACAGATAACGCTCTCAACCACCCCACTCTCTACTACACAGATAATGCTCTAAACCACCCCACTCTCTACTACACAGATAATGCTCTCAACCACCTCACTCTCTACTACACAGATAACGCTCTCAACCAACCCACTTTCCACTACACAGATAACGCTCTCAACCAACCCACTCTCCACTACCCAGATAACGCTCTCAACCATCCCACTCTCCACTCCACAGATAATGCTCTCAACCACCTCACTCTCTACTACACAGATAATGCTCTCAACCACCTCACTCTCCACTACACAGATAATGCTCTCAACCACCCCACTCTCTACTACACAGATAACGCTCCAACCACCCCACTCTCTACTACAGAAATAATGCTAGATAATGCTCTCAACCACCTCACTCTCCACTACACAGATAATGATCTCAACCACCCCACTCTCTACTACACAGATAATGGTCTCAACCACCTCACTCTCTACTACACAGATAATGCTCTCAACCAACCAACTCTCTACTACACAGATAACGCTCTCAACCACACCACTCTCTACTACACAAATAATGCTCACAACCATCCCACTCTCTACTACACAAATAATGCTCACAACCACTCCACTCTCTACTACACAGATAACGCTCTCAACCACACCACTCTCTACTACACAAATAATGCTCACAACCATCCCACTCTCTACTACACAAATAATGCTCACAACCATCCCACTCTCTACTACACAAATAATGCTCACAACCACTCCACTCTCTACTACACAGATAACGCTCTCAACCACCCCACTCTCCACTACACAGATAATGCTCTCAACCCCCCGACTCTCTACTACACAGATAATGCTCTAAACCACCCCTCTCTCTACTACACAGATAATGCTCTCAACCAACCAACTCTCTACTACACAGATAACGCTCTCAACCAACCCACTTTCCACTACACAGATAACGCTCTCAACCAACCCACTCTCCACTACACAGATAACACTCTCAACCACCCCACTCTCTACTACACGGAGAATGCTCACAACCAACCCACTCTTCACTACACAGATTGCGCTCTCAACCACCCCACTCTCTACCACACAGATAATGCTCTCAACCACCCCACTCTCCACTACACAGATAACACTCTCAACCACCCCACTCTCTACTACACAGATAACGCTCTCAACCAACCCACTCTCCACTACACAGATAACACTCTCAACCACCCCACTCTCTACTACACGGATAATGCTCACAACCAACCCACTCTTCACTACACAGATTACGCTCTCAACCACCCCACTCTCTACCACACAGATAATGCTCTCAACCACCCCACTCTCTACTACACAGATAATGCTCACAACCACTCCACTCTCTACTACCCGGATAATGCTCACAACCACTCCACTCTCTACTACACAGATAACGCTCTCAACCCCCCCACTCTCTACAACACAAATAACGCTCTCAACCGCCCCACTCTCTACAACACAAATAACGCTCTCAACCACCCCACTCTCTACGACACAAATAATGCTCACAACCACTCCACTCTCTACTACACTGATAACGCTCTCAACCACCCCACTCTCTACTACACAGATAATGCTCTCAACCAACCCTATCTTTACTACACAGGTAACGCTCTTAACCACCCCACTCTCTACTACACAGATAACGCTCACAACCACTCCACTCTCTACTACACAGATAACGCTCTCAACCACCCCACTCTCTACAACACAAATAACGCTCTCAACCACCCCACTCTCTACGACACAAATAATGCTCACAACCACTCCACTCTCTACTACGAGGATAATGCTCACAACCAACCCACTCTCCACTACACAGATAACGCTCTCAACCACCCCACTCTCTACGACACAAATAATGCTCACAACCCCTCCACTCTCTACTACGAGGATAAAGCTCACAACCAACCCACTCTCCACTACACAGATACCGCTCTCAAACACCCCACTCTCTACAACACAAATAATGATCACAACCACTCCACTCTCTACTACACAGATAACGCTCTCAACCAACCCTATCTTTACTACACAGATAATGCTCTCAACCATCCCACTCTCCACTACACAGATAACGCTCTCAAACACCCCACTCTCTACAACACAAATAACGCTCTCAACCACCCCACTCTCCACTACACAGATAATGCTCACAACCACTTGACTCTCTACTACACAGATAATGTTCACAACAACTCCACTCTCTACTACACAGGTAATGATCACAACCAACCCACTCTCCACTACACAGATAACGCTCTCCGCCACCCCACTTTCTACTACACAAATAATGCTCACAACCACCCCACTCTCTACTACACAGATAATGCTCTCAACCACCCCACTCTCTACTACACAGATAACGCTCCAACCACCCCACTCTCTACCACACAGGTTATGCTCACAACCATCCCACTCTCTACTACACAGATAACGCTCCAACCACCCCACTCTCTACTACAGAAATAATGCTCACAACCACCCCACTCTCCACTACACAGATAATGCTCACAACCACTTGACTCTCTACTACACAGATAATGTTCACAACCACTCCACTCTCTACTACACAGGTAATGATCACAACCAACCCACTCTCCACTACACAGGTAATGATCACAACCAGCCCACTCTCCACTACACAGATAACGCTCTCCACCAACCCACTCTCTACTACACAGATAACGATCTCAACCAACCCACTCTCTACTACAGAAATAACGCTGTCAACCACGCCTCTCCTCACTACACAGATAATGCTCACAACCACTCTACTCTCTACTACACAGATAATGCTCACAACCACCCCACTCTCTACTACACAGATAATGCCCACAACCACCCCACTCCTCACTACACAGATAATGCTCACAACCACCCCACTCTCTACTACACAGATAATGCTCACAACCACCCCACTCTCCACTACACAGATAATGCTCACAACCACTTGACTCTCTACTACACAGATAATGCTCACAACCACTCCTCTCTCTACTACACAGATAATGCCCACAACCACCCCACTCTCCACTACACAGATAATGCTCACAACCACTTGACTCTCTACTACACAGATAATGTTCACAACCACTCCACTCTCTACTACACAGGTAATGTTCACAACCAACCCACTCCTCACTACACAGATAACGCTCTCAACCACCCCACTCTCTACTACACAGATAACGCTCTCAACCACCCCACTCTCTACCACACAGATAATGCTCACAACCACTCCACTCTCTACTACACAGATAATGCTCACAACCACCCCACTCTCTACTAAACAGATAATGCTCTCAACCAACCCTAGCTTTACTACACAGATAACGCTCTTAACCACCCCACTCTCTACAACACAGATAACGCTCTCAACCACCCCACTCTCTACTACACAGGTAATGCTCACAACCATCCCACTCTCTACTACACAGATAACGCTCTCAACCACCCCACTCTCTACTACAAAGATAATGCCCACAACCACACCACTCTCTACTACACAAATAATGCTCACAACCATCCCACTCTCTACTACACAAATAATGCTCACAACCACTCCACTCTCTACTATACAGGTAATGCTCTCAACCACCCCATTCTCTACTACAAAGATAATGCCCACAACCACACCACTCTCTACTACACAAATAATGCTCACAACCATCCCACTCTCTACTACACAAATAATGCTCACAACCACTCCACTCTCTACTATACAGGTAATGCTCTCAACCACCCCATTCTCTACTACAAAGATAATGCCCACAACCACACCACTCTCTACTACACAAATAATGCTCACAACCATCCCACTCTCTACTACACAAATAATGCTCACAACCACTCCACTCTCTACTATACAGGTAATGCTCTCAACCACCCCATTCTCTACTACAAAGATAATGCCCACAACCACTCCACTCTCTACTACACAGATAACGCTCTCAACCACACCACTCTCTACTACACAAATAATGCTCACAACCACTCCACTCTCTACTACACAGGTAATGCTCTCAACCACACCACTCTCTACTACACAAATAATGCTCACAACCACTCCACTCTCTACTACACAGGTAATGCTCTCAACCACCCATTCTCTGCTACACAGATAATGCTCACAACCAACCCACTTCCCATTACACATGTTATACAACTCTACTTCACAGTAACATTCTCAACCACTCCAATCACCTCTCCACCTAACACAGGTACTCCACACTTAACATAGATAGGTTACATTTCAGCACCAGTCTATCTGTAGTAGGGTTACTAGACTGACTTTTGATATGATCTTTCACAAATACATAGTTTAATAATCCCACATTTTCTTGTTTATGACAGGTATTTTAATAGAACAGAAATCAAGGTGGATGGAGCATTGATTTTTAAGGATCAGGTACTGATGCAGGATTCACCGTACATTACCGTTCATCAGTCAATGAAGAACTATAAAGTAAGTCATTCTTGGGTATTGTAAAAACATGATAGCACCTTTTCACAATGAAATCTACAAAGTGATGTGTGATGGTTGTATATCTATAAAAAGTTTGTAAAATCTGGTATATGAAAAGTGTCTACTAGTGGACCCTCATAATAGACTTGATATTTTAGTATACAAAAACGAGTTAAATAAAAGAGTACTGCATCAGTTATAATTGTGAAGAAGAGTTCCTCTGTAAAGTTGTATTTTTTGGTTCAAGTATGCTCCTTTATATAAAGAAGTAACAAATACATGTATGTATATTTTTCCTTGTCAAGGTTGTCATCTTTCATTTTGATTCTGTGCATTTAAACTCCTTAATAACAATATTGGGGAAGTATATTACGGTAGTTGTTTTAGCCCACCAATAACAAAGGTCCAAATTAGTGAAAATAGGATAAATAAACCAACTACTAGTTAATATTTGCTTTCTTGTAATTTTTGAGGTTATAAGGGTTTGCTTTATCTAGTTTAATATAATAGTTTTTGATGCATTTATTTTGTTTGGAATCATGAAGGATTTGTTGTAGAAAGGTTGACTCTGTACATTGTTGATGTAATTACAGGTGTTAGGTACCTGTGTACTACTGGGTAATTACAGGTGCTAGGTACCTGTGTACTACTGGGTAACAGGCTCTAGGACATATGTACTCATTGTTGATGTAATTACAGGGGTAAGGTACCTGTGTACCACTGGGTTATTACCTGTGTATTACCTGTGTACTACTGAGTAACAAGCTCCAGGACATATGTACTCATTGTTGATGTAATTACCGGTGTTAGGTACCTGTTTACTACTGGGTAACAGGCTCTAGGACATATGTACTCATTGTTGATGTAATTACCAGTGTTAGGTACCTGTTTACTACTGGGTAACAGGCTCTAGGACATATGTACTCATTGTTGATGTAATTACAGGTATTAGGTACCTGTGTACTCCTGGGTAATTACAGGTGTTAGGTACCTGTGTACTACAGGGTAATTACAGGTGTTAGGTACCTGTGTACTACAGGGTAATTACAGGTGTTAGGTACCTGTGTACTACTGGGTAACAAGCTCCAGGACATATGTACTCATTGTTGATGTAATTACCGGTGTTAGGTACCTGTGTACTACTGGGTAATTACAGGTGTTAGGTACCTGTGTACTACTGCGTAACAAGTTCCAGGACATATGTACTCATTGTTGATGTAATTACAGGTGTTATGTACCTGTGTACTACTGGGTAACAAGCTCCAGGACATATGTACTCATTGTTGATGTAATTGCAGGTGTTATGTACCTGTGTCCTACTGGGTGACAAGCTCCAGGACATATGTACTCATTGTTGATGTAATTACTGGTGTTAGGTACCTGTGTACTACTGGGTAACAAGCTCCAGGACATATGTACTCATTGTTGATGTAATTACAGGTGTTATGTACTACTGGGTAACAAGCTCCAGGACATATGTACTCACTGTTGATGTAATTATAGGTGACATGTACCTGTGTACTACTGGGTAACAAGCTCCAGGACATATGTACTCACCTCCAGAAGACCCTCACACCGAAAAAGAAGTTTGGTAAATATAAATACATACTCTGTATTCATGTTCAAACGAATACAGGCCAATAGGACCTTGTATTCTGTCAGAAGTGTTTTTCAGCTCCAAGGAGTATATATCCAGTCAATATTGGAAACAGACTGTTAAATTCTTAAAACTTTACCCAGTCAATACTTGACTTCACATGCAGCTAGGATAATATTTAAAGTCCTTATAAAAGTCAGCTTAGGCCTCATTGTATATATTGAGTCAACACTAAAATGATGCTAGGGATGATGGAGTAAAAGCGGGAATGTTTGTATTCAAACTCATCACGGTGTGCTAATGTTTGCTTTGACATTAGTTCTGAAATATATATATTCAATTTATTTATTATCTGTAAAGAAATATTAGGTGCAGATATGTTCACGCTTACTTACTCAACGCAAAAAAAATTCAAATAGTTCCGCTCTACAAAATCTCCCACTTCTGCGGTATTCAGTAAAGTTTCTTGTATTCAGTCAGTTCTGAAAGTAGGTAACTAGGGCTTTATTTTCAGTCAATACTTCATTAAACTTCACACTGACCTTTAGAGCTCTATTGATACTGAACTTTCTATTAACAAGTATGGAAATCTGAATATGGCTTGCAGGCCACTGTACAAAGCCAAATTCTAAAGACCATACCCAGATATTAAACATCTCTACTACTTCAGTGGTCCTGTTTGTAATATCATTAAAATTTGTTTTAAAAGACAAGTGCAACTTTTCTGAAGAGATAAAACCATAGCTTCTGCAATGTTTGTCTAGCTGCCACAAAGTAGTGGAATCGAAGCGAGACTAAGGTGTTGCGACAGCTGTGACAACATTAAGTTTTCACGTCTTAGGTATCTTAGGTAGTACATCTCAACCCATGCATCAAATGCTGGATGCTGCCTACCTTTCATGGTCCATTGACTTTGTCAGCATCGCCATCAACATTAAGTTTTTGCGTATAAGTTAGTTTCTCTGATATGTGCATTGATGGTCAAAGCAGCGCACACAGGCAAGACATATCAATCCGAATTGCTTAAGGGTGAAATTTATGAACTGATATTATAAGAGTTGCTATTGAATGTGGTTATACCTGTTTTTGTGGTTGTTTATAGGTGAGCAGTACAACTCAGACTCAGTGTGTTGTGTCAGTCCAATAACAAACAGATGTGGAGTCTCGGGTCTCTACATCCGCTTCATGACCACCAACACAACTGCTGTAAGTAAATAATCTATATTAATCAATTATGGACTTTCGTTGAGGTGACAATGTGGTAACATGGACCTAAGATAGAGATATTGACTGAAGCAGAGTACCATACTTTTGTTATGGTATCCATGTTTTCTGTTGGTTATTCATTGTAACAGCCAAGAAATAAAGGAGGACAACTGTTGCGATATAAACCTGGGATTGTTCAGAGGTTCTGCAACATCGAACAATTGGTCAGTTGCCTGCTCGCATATGTTACAATAGAGTCAGAGATATCTTGTTTAGCAACTTCAGCCTTGACTCTGAGAAGATCGTAAACATTTGAAGGATGTAACATGTTCAGAAGCAATTCTGTTCCAGAACCTTACACCAATGTTTGTTTGTAGGCGTATGCTGTGATCAGTGACATAGTTCGCCCACTGTTACCTATACTTGGAGCGGACCCCTTCCACAACAAATATTGACCTGCAGCTACCCCTGACTGTTTGCACATATCGACTGCCATGTTTTACTCTTTACAAATAATTTGTATGGACAAGAACCCATTTCATCAGGATAAAGAAATCAAAACACGTCCCTGTCCATGGGGACTTTTAAGACTAGGAACAAGAACCTGCAGGATAACATCAGGACACACACCAAATACTTGACCACGTCTTTTATACCTGCTTTGAGTGATTTAGTACAGCACCCTCATGGTTCATTGTACGGCCGACACCGAAACAGACCTACTTGTGATTCATAAGATTTATATGCAAATTACATTTTACATTATTTTCTAATATAAGTTCTGTGAGAACTTTTGTCAGAATTGAAAGCTAGGTTAGATGTTGAATCGATCTAGCTTCCCTGTATATTTACATCCCTACAAGTGAAGCTAAGAATTCATTTTGCATTAGTCAAAATATCTTTATGTGAAATTGTGCCTGTTTTTGTGGTACAATTTGTATATGACAAATGTTATATTCTTCCTTAAAATGTTTTCACATTTCATGTCAAATTGTTAAAGACTTGATTCATTTATGTATATCAAATGAAATGTTATTAAATGATATTATATATATGCTTTATTTTAAAACTTTGTGTTTGCTTTAAAAGGAGGACTCCTTTTTTTCGCAGAGGGTTGAAAAGTACTCTTAATAATGTGCACGTTTTGTCAGTTTCCTATTTCTTGATTGCTAGTTAGATAAACTCACTGTACATATCGTAAATGTTCATATAACCTTTGCAACCACAAGTCAACACACAGTGAAAGATTCATATTATTCTCGTCCTCAAAAATTCCAGAGGTCACGCTTACTTACATTCTCTGCAACCCTGGGATTTTTAAGTAGCACGTACTTCGAGTTAGTTTCCCGTACAGAACCTCTATAGGTCCACTCCACTGGTCTTGATTGTTGAATAGCACCAAACGTGAAGTCCGCTTTCAATCAGTGCTCTAAAGTTATATATTGTACAGAGCCTTAAATTTCCTCAAGACAAATTTCTGGGATGTAGAGACCGTAAGTGAGCATATCCGCTGTTAGTTTGAGGTTGTTAAACAGTAGTGTTTTTTAGAAGGGGGGATTTTGTACATCCTCCCATGAATTTCAATATTCTGCTTTTATCACGCTATCAAAACCCTCTCACCATTAAATCTGGAGAAAACACTGCATTATATGGAGGCTCTCTGACAATCATGGAACAAGACATAACAAATGATAAAAATCCCCTGGCATGCGGATGAAGATTTTACATCTAGCTCTATATGAAGGGCATGCAAATTGTCCGAGGTATTCTCATACTTCACTACATGAAGCTTAACAAAAATCTTTTCAGAAACAAATTATTTGAGGTATTGTCATACTTGACCAATATTTCATTTTGATCAAAATCCATGTAGGAATAAATTTGCTAGAGCGTTGACAAAAAGTCTATAAATAGTAATGGTGATGATCTTCAAGGTATTCCCATGCATGACCAATATATGAAGTTTTATTAAAATCCCTCCAGGAATAAAGTTGCTAAAGCTATGACAAAATATGAACCTAGGTACAAAGGAATGTATGAATAGAATGCTATATGCCCTCCCTGATGTTGTTATGGGGATAATTACCGGCCTGTGATGAATATCAATTGATGGGACAGGACAATTAGCCTACATCTAGATCTAGATTTATACAATGAATTCTAGCATTGTCTAGAATTGTAACAAAACAATAACCAGAACTGCTATACAGAGGCTAACTAAGATACACCCCTTGCATCCCACAATTAGCATAAAGGGAATATCTGACCTCCATTAAAAAGAGTTGAAATGAAAAAAAAATATACCTGAATGCACACCATAAGGGGGAAGTTATCATATCTGTGGAGGTTGAAATCAGTGCAGGAACAGTTGCCCGGGCAAGATTTTGCAGACGACAGAAGATCAGGTTCTGATTATATAACGGTATGCAATGAAATGAAAACAATGTGTTGTATCTGTAAAATAGTTTTAATAATTTAAAGTCACAAGGCACAGACAGCTGTGACAGAATTTATCAACATACATACAGAGTATGTATATACATAACAACAAAGGAGTATGTTTTATACATGTTTTACATAACACCTGAGTATCACACAAATCTTAACAAGATTCACTCAACACAACATACATAGGATGAAGTAACACAAGTAGTGTTATATTGTTGACACTGAGTACAGAGATCGTATAGCTAATATTGATAATGTAGGGGAGGTTGAACTGGACAACACCGAGAGATACACTTTTGATATAACATGGTGATGGTACATACCAGGTAACATTCCTGATATTACATACCTACTACATCAATCAATGGAATATATTACCATCAAAATAACATGTCTACTGCAAGGTAAAAATCTGAAACTGATTTTTTCATAAAAACAACAAAAATATAGGTTTAAGTTTAAACCTCTCCTTTAACACCATGTTTTGTAAATAAGAATGTAGACAAAGAAAGAAAGTGGATTATTGCTAAGAAAAGCATGCTTCTCTGTATGATGTGACCTTGTCTCAGTCTAATTATATCACAGATGATTTTGTACGTCAAACTTAGTCAACACCAAATATTGTCTACAGTGTGTACACTTCATTTGTTTTTGAAATCTTCCTACACATCTATACAAAAATAATAAAACCTGGTCATGATTCACATTGAACTGAAGCTTAAGACATTAACAGAATACAGATGCACTTACTAGTTGTCTCTTTCAGCTGTTCCTAACAATCAGCCGACGTCTGAACAAAACCCTGATCTAACTCTGGCAAAGCATTCAAGTAGGAAAAACTGACCAATCTCTAGACTGATACCTGTCCTATGAAGAATATAAAGTAGTGACACCTGACTTCAAAGCCTGTCAATTTTACCGGTATGCTGCTGCACAATTATTTTGATGTACATCAAAGGATCAACAAGTCTAATCGTGTAATCTGCAAGGTGGTGCTATAGAGCCTTCAGTTTTGGCAGGACATGTTCCAGGGGTGTAGAGTGAGCGTAACCCACCCAGGGGTGTAGAGTGAGTGTAACCCACCCAGGGGTGTAGAGTGAGTGTAACCCACCCAGGGGTGTAGAGTGAGTGTAACCTATGGAACTCTGAGGATGGTAATCAACTGGATAGCTGCCTTCTTCTATTGGGTGCAGGTGCTGTCCTACTTACTATATAGCTACAGGACACAATATTTGATTGGACACTATACTTTTTCAGTGTTAGCACAAAAATCAGTATAAAGCCAAGGTGTGCCCCTTGGAAAATTGAGTACTGTAAATCTGCTTTAATATCACAATTGTTATCTGCTATTGAGTCAATAACCAAGTTTTGTTTCTTGTTGCATATTTATGCCTTGGGTATTGGGTACTAAGATAAACGAGAAACATAATTTGCAGTTACCTTAGAAAGGGGAGCAGGAAATGACGATTTCAGTAGTGTAGAAGGAGAAGTATATCCCAAGGATACACTGGTCACCATCATGTAATGTTGACAGTCCTGTGATCTGTGCTTCATCTATTAAGGCCCTTTCCCAGAGGAACATTTTTCTTCTCGGGGAGGTAAAGTCACCTCTATAGCTAGACAACACTGTAAGAGATCAGGGCCCGTATTCATGAAACCGTTCTCATGCTCAAGCATGGATATTGTGCTCAAGTCTAATTTCTTGTTCCAGTTAAAAGTTATTTAAAAATCTTCTTTTGCTTGAGCATGAGAACGGTTTCATGAATACGGGCCCAGTTCTCCAGAGAAAGGGTCATAATAGATTTAGATGAATGGCCTGTCCACAAAGTGCCTTATTGTCTGAAGTTTTATACAATATCATACTAGATCTTTCAAGAATTAAACAAAGAGCAACAAGATGTAAATGAATGGTACAGTGTTATCTGTTCAGTGTTGAATGTGCCCAAGGATGAATCTCACAACAAATGTGCTGTATACAACGTGATGTGATCAGAATCTAATCATGAATGAACTATACTATATATGGTATATATTTAAATCTTTATCTGATATACAATTATTGAATAAAACTTAGTGCATCTAAATAAATCTTGTATGACAAGTTTAACTGGATGGGTAAAAAGAAAAAAAATACTCACTTACATTTCTAGGTCTGCTGTCAGATGTTTTTTTGGGGGTTATAAACAGAAAAATGCTTGAATTTCAGACTTTTTTGTGTGTATAGTTGTATTTAAACATAAACCTCATTAAGTGAATTGTTCCCATAAACTCCATAAAACCTGGAATGATTGTGTATGTTTTAATAGATAACGTGGACAATTTTCAGATTACTATAAGATTGTACTGGGTCTGAAAATTTTGCATTATATGAGTTTTTTCCATATAATTTGGAGTGTTCAATATTGTTACCATAAAAATACTCAGAGACTATAGCTATAAAGCTATAGGAAAGACGGCACACATACCAGGCCAAGACCTACTACATTTATCAAACAAGGCATTTCTGTGGCATGCTATAGACAGAAAACTTAAAAAAACATTTACAGATGAACAAGATCATTCTCCCATCACATCTCAAACATGATTTTTACACCCTAACAATTTTTGACCTATGTCATGATATTTTCAAAGAAAAGTGTAGCTGAAATACCTGAATCAGCTGTCCGCTATAGGAGAATGACTAAATCAGCTGTTTCGTGGGAGGACTTAACTGAATCAGCTGTTCCCTAGGAAGACCTGTCTGAATCAGCTGTTCACATGCTCGAATTAGTAATTCTTTAGTAAGGTATGCCTGAATCAGCTTATCCCTAGAATAACATACTGAATCAGCTGTTACCTATGAAGACATGCCTGAATCAGCTGTTCACATGCTCGAATTAGTAATTCTTTAGTAAGGTATGCCTGAATCAGCTGATCCCTAGGATAACATACTGAATCAGCTGATCCCTAGGATAACATACTGAATCAGCTATTTCTATGAAGACATGTCTGAACCAGCTATTTCTAGGAAGACATGTCTGAACCAGCTTTTTCTAGGAAGACATGCTGGTATTGAAGTAATTCCCTAAGAGGACGTGCCTGAATCAGCTATTACTCAAAGGACTCTGGTCCTGTTCCCCAACACTCCAATTTAAGCTTGAAATGTCTACTGGAAGTCCATCTTCCATCATATTAGTGTCAATAGGAAACTCAGCCAAAAATTTTGAAAGACTTTGGTTATGATCTCCTCCCCCAAAGTCTGTTCCTGGATCACAACGCAGGGGAGTTTGAGAAAAGGAGAAGTTCAAATCTAACACTGAAGAATTAGGAGGAGTTCGGTTTTGGCCAAGTGACAACTTCTTTGCACAGCGGATATCTGGAGATATCAAAAAGCCCTTAGATTCAGAATCAGAATCCTTCAAGCAGTCCAAGAAACTTGAGTCCAGTAGCCCGCTACTCCTGAGTGGTGTTAGACCAATTATAGGGGAGGGCATTTGTGGAGAGGGAAAGCCACAGACTTTTAGAGGTGTGGATGTAGACACAGTGGTACTGCCACTGGAGGGTAACACAGATGTTAAAGGATCCTCCTGCTCAAGATTTTCCAAATCTTCCTCAGAACTCTCAGCCATAAGCTCTCGCTCTTTTGGCACAAGTTTCTGTTTCCTTCGTGCTTTACCCTTACGAGACGGTGGTGTGGTGCGCATGTAAATTTTAGGTTTTGGAAGACCTGCTCGCAACTTGGCTTTCTTGGCACCCGTTTGTCCCTGTGAGGAATGGATACACTTTGAATCTCCCAGTCGAGTTGTATCACTGTCATCACTTGTACTATTGTTCTGTGAATCAATCCACGCCTGACGTACGATACTGATGGAGTGCTTGGGAGATGGTGTAGATGTGGAGACCTCCTTGGGGGCTATGGCAGAGTAACGCTGTTTCTTCTTGAGGCGTGTACACAATGGCTTCTCCTCAATGTTTTGCACCAATGGAGAAAGTAATGGGGACCCTGTCAAAAACAGAATAAAAATAAAATTAAATTAACATGCTTTTGCATCATATAAAAATGGAATACAGGCATAAAAAAATACATGAAATATACCTTTTTATAAAACAAATCTGACAGGTGGAAATGAATAAAATAGGTTGCAACCTTATTTAATACTCAATATGGTGCACCTGGCCGTAGGAAAAAACTAAAAAACTTATTACTTCATATATCATCTACCATATCAATTTGATGCTCCCATATCAGACGGAGGCCCCAAGGGCTGATACGAGTTGAGGGATGAAAATTAATGTATAGCTTCAAATTTTGTTTTAATCAACATGATCCATATATGGTCATCACACCTCATGTGATAAGGGTTTTGTATGACAGACAGAAATTTTATTGACCAATATATGGTTTTGTACAACTCCTTATTTCAACGTTTAAGGTTAACAATCTTAAAGAAACAGCAAGTCAATGATATCTTTGTGATGTCACTTCGGTTGTAATATATGCAACACAATGCTCCCTGCCAAATGCAGCACTTTTTCAATGATTTTCTTACAATCCATCTTGCTTTATGATCAACTAGAACATACTTAATGATCAATTAGAAAATGACCTTTTAGGGGGTGAAATAACAGGGTCCACTTGTATAAAACATCTCAACTCTTTGAGATTTCCTCAAGTCTAAGAGTTCCCATAGACAATACATTGCTTGAGATTTTCCTTAACTTTGAGATGTTTTATACAAGTGGGCCCTGGACCTCAATCCAAGAGGAAAGATTTCAAAGTTTCCAAACATAAGCCTTGCCACTGAGCTGAGATTTGCCATCTTAAAACCCCAAAGGGGAGAAAGACGATTATTTTTCTCTCGTAGTGCTAGCCTCGAAATGTGCAATGCATTGTTGATGTGATGTCATACAGCTGAATCTCCAAGTCTAGAATATCTCACACCAAGAAAAGTGAGTACAAATATGTCCAGGGTAAGACACCCCATTGTAACTACTTTATCATGTCAAACAACTCTATCTTATACAACTATGATAATAGTAAAGGAACTCTTACCTGTTTGTGCATAAAAGATCAGAAAAATTACACTGAGAAGGTATGTTCTGCATGCAAGTTCTTTAATGTCTTGCACTACAGAAATACCCCTACCTTTATAAGGAGTTCACGCCTAATATCTGGATCCACCCATCAATACCTACCTGGGTTTGAGTGTTGTGAGAGGCTCTGCCCGGACTTAGGCAGCTGGATGAGCATTGGTTGGCCCTGGGAGGTGGACGGAATTTGGATGCCCTGCTGGAGGCCCTGGCCCATGTTCTGTATAGGGATGAGTGCGTAGGTCTGCAGAGGGGTTTGAGACACTGCCATTGGTCGGGGTAGGATTGGCTGGGGACCTGAAGACATCACATGTACATTTACTAATATGTAATTATACAGTGTCTGACAGAACAATTTTCTGTTTTCATTTGAATGATTTTATATATGTAAAGAAAATATCAAGAACCTTGCATACCTTTCTCTTTTGTACTAGGACCTTCAGAACTAATATTAACTGTCAGATATGGTCTTAAGACATCTTTAAAAATGATGAATAAATGATCTATACATTTATTTCCATTGATAATTGTATTTTATTTTTGATGTTATGATTGGGTCAATCAAAGAAATTATGACGGCAAATCAGTATTATAAACACAACTTGATCATTTTTTGTGTCTACCTTAGTAATGACAAGTAGTTCAGATCACAGTTCAGTGGTTTAGAAGGTATCCATGAAAGTTCTGGGATCAAGAGCAATCTAGACAAAGTCTAAATGTGAAGGTTGCCTAGTGGTTCAATGACAGACACATAGAGGTTTTCAAATGAATTCCCAGTTAATAGTTATGATTTTTATGAAATGTGCTTTAGCAAAGTATTTTTTTAATGAAGATAATAAAAGTCATCCACAAAATCTTTATTTGTTACCTTTCTTAGACCTGTCTCCTAGTACAGTATTAGGCGGTAATGCCACTTTGAGTCCGTGTGATTGCTGCAAAAACGTTGGTAGGCTCACAGGAAGCATGGTTCCAATACCCAGTGGACCTGCACATAGAACAGATAAATATTCAGTGTTTACCCACATAGTTTGATCTTATTTATCAGTATATAGTGTTGTACTTTATTAGGGTTCACATGATACACTCACAGTATGATGCATCCTTACACCTCTCTTAAAATTTATCATGTATCTCAACATATCCTGCAAGCCGTTGTCATTTGCAAAGTTGTGATGTTTTCAGAATAAAGGCACCTACGAGCTGTCTCCCTAGTGAGTGTATGAAAAATTAACTTTTCCCTTCCCCCAAAAAGGTATACATCTGTGAAGTGTGACAACTCAACCCTATAGCTACACATGCAGTAGTAACGGGGACAACTCTAATCTCATCCATAGGTACAGGAAAGGGAAGTGTTACCTTTCCTCAGTCCATCTTTGGCAGGAACTGATTTGGACTTCTCTGGACAGTCATCACGTATTGTCCAGTGAGAGCCATGCTTTTTAGATTTTTCCCTCTCAAATATACTGTACAATGACAGGTTGTGTCGTATGGAGTTCTGAAACAAAACATTAGAAATAAATACCAATGCAAATAACTGTTTTTCTTGAGTTTAAAAATAAATAAATAACAGGTCATTGGTCTTTAATCAGAATTATCTTCTGAAGAAATAATTTGCAAGTTTTAGGGACAATAACCCGATGATTTAAATAGAACAAAATTTGTAGGAAATTTACACCTGTAAATAGTACAATTGCAGATGGTTCTATGACTAGAACCTGTGTGAGTGTAGAAAGCCAATAAAAGCATCCTGATCAGGTTTCTATTTTACAAAACATCTTTAATAACTAAACAATACTGAGCATTTGCGAAACTGGGGCCTATAAAGGCCATGTGGATTCATAAAACTGTTCTCATGCTCAAACCCAGATTCTGTGCTTCAGCTCAATTTCTGATTTAAGCAAGAAAAAATATTTGTTAATATTATTTAATTTTGACTTTTTGTAGGTACTTAGCTATATAGCCTTAACCTGAGCTGATAACCATTCCCATGTTTAAGTGGTGTTGATCCAATCTGATTAAAATTATATGTTACATGGCTTCGTTAACTTGGTACTGCGCCTGAACATCTGAGTGTGCCGCGGTCAGGGTCACATTTATAAATACTCATTAAACTTTGACCAATCAGAGACCCTCTTTCAAAAGGGCGCTCAGAGTTGTAACAAATATGGCGGACATTGATGAGAATGATGCCAAAGTTCTGAAGTTATTTGAGATTGATCGTCTGAAACCCGAACAGAAAAAGATATTCGAAGCTTTATTAGAGAAGAAAGACTGTATGGCGGTGTTGCCTACGCAATTATTACCCAATGGGTACGTTTTCCTTGGTGTCGTAGAAACGTCGGTTTCTGTCGCCATATTTGCTTTGGAAAACTAATCTGTTCGATACCCCTCGCTATTTATCTATCAACCATGATATTCCGATTGGCTGGCAAATGCCAGCCTAAAGGTCACTTGAATGTGACCCTGACCGCGGCACATTCAGATGTTCAGGCGGAGACCTGTAACAGATGATTTTAATCAGATTGGCGTTGATCATTTGTGAGTTTAAAAAGGGGATTAGGAACAGAACTGGAGTTTTAGCATGATAAAGGAATTTGTGCTCCGATTCTTTGCTCAAGCTTAATTTCTCGTTCTGGTGATAAATTAACAAAACTTCAGTTTGTCAATGTTTTGAAAGAATTTTCAAGAGACATAAAATCGAATACCATTTTCGATATATATAGACTTAACTTTTTGACCTTGTCATGTGACTTATGTAAGTTACAAGAATGTTGGTTTGAGCACAGATTCCATGTTAAAGCGTAAAACAATTTCAAATATCGGCCTAGGCTGATACCAACCTTCCAGCCAGGTTTGGCGGTGTGTTTATAGTAGGGAAAGGTGTCCTCTATCCAATGACAAATCTCCCTCAGGGTCATACGCTTGTCCTCTCGTGAATTCAGACCCATCTGTATCAGCGTCATGTACGAAAATGGTGGTCTTTTGTGACGACCACACTCCCTGGCAATCTGCATATGTTGAAAGCATTGATATAATAATATTAAGTTTTGTTCATATCTTTCCATCAGCTCTCTCATACATACAGTATTTGTGTGTAATTGAGAATAACTCGGAGATCCTTTCATGAATGTGTGTTAAACCTACAGTTTATTCAAAGTTAACCAATTTTCTCCCCATGCCATTTAGCTGATAGTGATATTTATAGACTTATTAAGAAGCCGTAATACCTTGCCTTTATAATTAATTCTATTTTTTTATTACAAGAATTGCCACAAATTAAATCACCAGGCTGACCCAGAAGCAGTGTCCTTTGATGAATCTAGGAGTGGTTCTTTTTCCGTTCTTTAGGCAGCATGGGTACGAAGTTAGAATTTAGTTTGGGATAGAGATGCGACAAGATTTCAAAACTTTGTACCTCATTTGTCAATTCTATCAATTTGAAAAGTTTCTCATCATCTTGTCACTATTACTGTGGACTATCTTTTGTATCAGTTCTCACAAAAATGACAAAATATACCTTCTGCCATCAATTAAAATAAACACAGTCAATTTAGTTAAAACACTTTTGTAAACATTGGTTCTTTCATTCAGCCAAGGGAATGACCGGTCACCCAGAATTATGGAAAATGTTGGCAGAAGTATTATTATTTTAATATTTTGTTGGTGTGTGCAGATGAGGAATAGTTAATGTATAAAATCCCAACAAACTAAATATGTACCATAAAATTGAAATTGGTATACTGTAAAAGCATAGTATTTCGTTGGGGATTTAATTTTGTTTATTTCATGGTTTTAAGAAAACCACAAAAAATAATTCAAACGAAATTTTAAGCACACGAAATTATAAACTTAACGAAAATATGAAATTAACTATTACTTTAATTACAAGCCATGCTGTATTTACATTTAGACACAGGTCATAATAAACAGTGTAATTATCGTCACAGGCACAAGCGTTATATTTGTAACACGGTGACATCGCTCTTTGTATGTAAACTATAGAGCATGACAGATTTGACTGATACCCATTGAGGGAGTGTATCTCGCCCGTTCTTACCTGTACCTCGCAAGTCGTGCGGTGAAATCAACTTGTATAGAAACTAAAAACACACTTAATATTCCCTTTAAAAAAATAATCAACGAAAAGGCTGTATAGTGTAAATAAAGCAGTCGTTGTCAGTTGTTTACGACAATAACGTTAACTTTGGATCGATTTCCAGCACCATGCTGTCTGGGCGGCATGCCCCGATTTTTAAACTTTTTCAACAGAGACACAGGGAAATAAACTTCTTATGCAACAGACAAACTATTGCTCAAATGATTTTCTCACACGTCTTCCTTCTGGAGTAATATTAACATTAAAATCGGCATGATTTTCTCACACGATGTGTCAAGGTAACCATGAACATTTATTAAATGCATGCTCGTTTTTTTTATCAGAATTTGCGTTATAAAATGTCGGTAGGCCTAATGATTTCCAATGTATATAACTATTAACTACCACACATGTTTGTTTAGACTAAATTATATGACCATCGAGCGATGTTTTCCACTGACTTGGGTGAGGCGAGGTGCGATGTACGGTTATCCAAACCTATTGTCTTATAGTCTAGGTGTCAAACAGAAAAAAATTATTGGGTTTGAAAATATTGATTCCACAAAATATAATCCCCACAAATTTGTCAAAAAAACCACGAAATTTAACCCCAACGAAAATATATGCTTTAACAGTAGTCTTAATAAATTTATTATAAAATAAATAACTTAATAAGTGTTTACATGCTCAAGTAGCCTGACAGTTCCAACTTTACAAGTGTAAGACATTTGGTGACAAGTTCTTTACCCACCTTCTCTACATCTGAGGTACTGAGGCATCGCCACTGTAACGGGTTGGACGCCACACCTTTGGGTGTCTCAACAAGAGTAGGGACTGGCTTAGGACTGCTCTGTACCGACTCATTGATGCCTTGGATACCTTTCAGCCAGTGCATGTTGGTGAGGGAATTATTTAGACAGTCTGGAAACAACAAGGTAAAGGTCACAAAACATTAAGTACGGGAACAGCTGCGACATGTAGATAGCATTAACAGATTTGAATCTTAAATATATACTCTTCAGTAACTATGAATGTGTGCTCATAGGTCTAACCACTAATTTTTCTGTCAGACAATTATCAGTGTACCACATGAAGTAATGTTTTCTGTAATAATGTAAAGAGCTAGAGTCCTATATTTAATACTTCTGAATTAATTTGCTGTGGATCAGGAAACAGAACTTGGACAACAGAAAATTAAAGTGACATAATGCACTTGTGTACATTACATACTAACAAAACATACATAACGGGAACAAGAAATCAGACTTGAATCCATGCTCGAACATGAGAATGGTTTCATGAATATGGACCCTGGTATACAGTTCAATTAATCCAAAGTAAAAGTGGAATACTTTACCTGGTGTATTGCTCATGTCTGGAGACAAAGGGTCAGTCAAGTGATGAGGTGTGGTTGGTCGAGATCGGTCACACTCCATCTTGACCACGGCTTGTTGTTCCTTGATGTTGATGTGAATAACCACCTCCCCAGCTTGTGGATCAGGTGGCTCCGGAAGTTCTTGTTTTATACCTTTTTCAGTGATTGTCATTTTTGTATTTGTTTTTGGTATTTGACTTAAGTTGGGTAACACAATATTCATAGATTTGAGGCATTTTGCTGCAGAAGCCTTACTGGTCAGGGAATGCATTGATGTTTTGGCTTGCATCAACTTCTGAATGGTATCAGTTGTATTTGGAAAAGAAGAAGCTCCTGTGGATGTGTTTATGCCAGACACAGATATGGATTTAGTTTCAACAGGAGTAGAACTGGATAGGGGCTTTCCCAAATCATGTTGGATATTTGAAAGGACTGGTGAAACTCCAGCTGGTGACTGAAAGAAAGCTGTTCCTTGCAGATTACAAGCTAATGAGGACACAGGCGAGGCTATAGAGCAGTTAGAGGCCACCCGACTGGATACAACAGCACTGTTTTTGCTGACACCTAATGTTCTGGTTGGACCAGGGGAGATGAGAATAACTTGTCTGGCAGCATTGTTTGGACTTGGTGATGCTAAATCTGAAGGGGTTGGACTGGTGAGCCAACTAGAGCCTCCAGCTGACTGGTACCCTGATGATGCAGAGAGATCAATGTTGCAGGAAGGAGTATATGTAGTTCTGGATACATTATAAGGACTCTTCATCTCTTGAGTATCATTGAGGTTTAAACCTTTATAATGTTGTTTGACAAAGTTTTCAATGTTCATGTTTGATTCTGAGTATCCTTCATCTGATGATTGAGCAACTGTTGAACATTCCTTTTCTTCAGATTCGTCTTTGAAAACATTAAATGACGATGCTGTACTGTCATACTCATCAAATCCTAAGTTTGAAAAGTTAATTTTTAAATGTTCTTTTATGTTGTTTCCAACATGTCCTTTGCATCGAGAAATGGTTTTGCTTTGAACTTTGAACTCCGCTGGGCAAAATTTATCAGGAGTGATGGTAGCATTTTCCCCTGACAATTTGTTTTTGTTTTCAGTCAGAACAAACTGAGGAGATGATTTTGTGGACTTTAAGAGCATTTCTGCTGTTGGTATCTGAGCTCTTGTTGCCTGTTGCGAGTGCTGGTTGACAATAAGAATGTAATTTGTTCCATCCTCCTGTACCACCCTCTGAGTCCCAAGTCCTAAGTCTAAGGTGGTTTTTTGTCTACCTCTGAAGACATCCACAGCAGTAGGCTGGGATCCATTATCTCTGTGAAAATCATGTTTCGTTTGCATTTGTGACTAAATTTTATACAGCATCACCTGAAAGACAATAATTATATCGTTTTATTTAGGACAATACATAGCATTACCGTACATATATTGTCACAAATACTACTATAATATACGGTACCATGTCTCGTTGTAAGCATATGTTTGGTCTAAAAGTATTGAGTGTAGCAAAGTGAAATGTCTGAAATTAGATTGTAAATTCCTAGAATAATATCTTTGCCTTCAGTTCAGTACAAATGTTGCGGGTGATTTTTTTCCTTTAATATAGAAGAATTGAAAACCGATCACAGTTATTAACTTTTTTACGATTTAGCCCCGAGAGTCAAAAAGAAAACAAACACCAAGGCTCGTCCCAGGGTCATTGATAATTTCTAAACCTTCAAACTCACCTGATAAATCCATACGAAAATTCCTACTGCTGCTTTCGTTATTTCGGTAACGCCTCGTTCAATCAGCATATCTTGGTACACTTAGTGAGTTATGTAGTTGTAAAACCAATACATGCAATAAAAACTAACAGAGAAATATGTGGCTTCGTATACTCAATAAGCATGCCCAAGCAGGCACGTCAACCATTTTTGAATTTTGAGGCTTGTGAGTAATTGACCAATAAAATCACTGGAAATGTGATCTCGTGAGATTTCCCGAACGCTCATCCCGAACATCTGTCTGTGACGTTCTAGTTCATTGGTCTGATCTAAATATCTATCCAATGAAATGTCTGTTTTCAAAAGTTCCATGGATTCATCATGGCGGCGAATGAAAACAAACTTTGGTAAATGAGTCTAGACAAGTCTTCGCGGCAGGTTTGTTGATATACATGTAGACGTCGTGTAGGCAGTTGAGCAAATAAATCACACTTCTGATCAACTTTCCCTTTATTGTAGAGAAAAAATAACTTGAAATGGCTGTTATCTGAGAGCTTTGAATGTGCAAATGGTCACAACATGAATGACAGCTACTGTATTGTATTGTTATCTAGGGTGTTCGTTATTGTTATGCCTTATTTAATTTATCACGCGATTGATCTGCAGCTCATTAATTGTGCTTGGAGACTGTGTCATATCCAACCTTTAAATAGAACACGCGAATTAAATATATTCATAACTATACGTGCTCGTGATTAGGCCTAGCTGCTAAGGCCTGTTACAGTTATTTCATCTTTGGCATCAGTAGACTGTACTGGTTCAGTGATATATAGCCGATATATAAGGTTGTACAGCGAGCAAGCGAATCTGTCTAAAATCATTGATCCTTTTTTTATGAATACTGATATAGGTTATCTGCATATATTAATGTTATAATAAGCAAACTATTTTTTCACAATATACATAATGTAAAGTTATGTATAATAAGCTTAAATGCATTCATTGTTTCGCCCCAAATCCCGTTCGCCCTAAGGGTTGTTTCGCCCCAAATCCTGTTCGCCCCGGGTTGTTTCGCCCTAATTTTTCTTTTTCTTTAAGTCATAAACATCATGTTAAAAGTTTTTTTTTTTTATCTTTCTCTCTTGAATCAAGATATAATTACGTGCCGGAAGGTGAAGAACGAACCTGTATATTCATCACCGAAGCCTACAACGGACATACTAATATCCAGAATATACTGTATATTACCATTTTCATTTCTTTACCTTAATTAAGTAATGTTGTTCTTTATAAAATGCACCTGTATATACTTTAACGTTAAAAATGTTTAAAACATGATATAAACAATTAAAAAGCACCCTGTCACGCCAGCCACTTTATATCAAACAAATTTCTCTAAGTACATAGATACGTATAGGAAATGGACATAGATTAGGTATAAATTGCGTATATACACATGAAGACTGAAACTACATACGTATATTAATTGCGTATAAGAATGAAAATAAATGAATACTTTCTCTAGAGACGTATACGAAATGTAAATAATTCCCCCAGTACATAGATACATATTTTAATTGTTAAGCAGATGTATACATTTTAATTATGAAATAAACGTTAGCAATTTACTTAGGGAATTATCAAAATACATTAAATATACTTGTATAATAATGTACTTACCAGTCTGGCAGGTTCTATGCTGCCAACGGTCACACACATCACATCAGATACCATCCTGTCTGCGTCTAACCACGGAGTCGTAAATTACGTTATGGATGATTTGTGCATTTTGTAACTTGTCATAAATAAGTCATTTCTCAATACTGTGTTATAATTCAACATTTGTAATGTTGAATTATAACACAGTATTGAGAAATGCTCTATTTATGACAAGTTACCTACTCAAAATTATCTACTCAAATATGCATATTAATTTTTATTGGTCGGTACTATCAAAACTTCTCAAAATGGACATATTCTCCAATTAGCAAAAAACAACACGAACGTGTGCAGAAATCAAGTAAAGAAAACATCGTCACACCGTGATGAGTATGCGTACAGCCGTACACTAGACTAAATGTGTTAACATGGAAAAATAATAATGTTGTATACCCCGCAATTTTTAAAATTACACCATTTTTGTTTCATTTCACTATTCTTACTTATTTCTAAAATTAAATTCAATATATGCTTTAATGTGTGTCGGCGTGAATGTACTTAAAACAACACAAACACATTTTATTTTAAATAAAACTGATTTTAATGATATGAAAGACTAAGAAGACTTAATTTGTGACTTAAAACAAATAAAAATGAAAAGAAAATACCTAACAATGTTTCGCCCTAAAAAAAATGTTTTAGGGCGAAACAACCTAGGGCAAACAGGATTTGGGGCGAAACAACCCGGAACCCATTCTATGGCACAGGGACCTGGTAATTTGAAACAGCTATATTTGGACCTAATTATATATATAAACTAACATACAGTGGAGCATATGCTCCCTGGCTTCCTGTCTATAATCAAGATGTCCGTTCCTGGGATCAAGACCTCATGGCCGAGATGATTTAATAAAAATCATGGTATAATATGACATTTTTGGCATGAATCTTTGCTATAAAGATCTTCTGCACTGGAGACTCAATGCAGAACACCATGGGGCTCATTACCTTATACAATCCTTGTTACATTATGTATTCCTATATTTTAACAAGCACTGAACAGAGCTTTTCGAATTATACAAGTTACATTAGTTCCCCTTGGTCCTTAATTAGTTGTGCATGTTCAGTTTTGGAGCAGATCATTAGTAAAAATGGCTGCAAGCAGTGGTTTTGTCAAAAGGAAGTGTCATAAGGATCCCTGTCCCATTGTACTATACATATATGGCGATCGTATATACAGTAGCCTCCCCTTAATTTAGTTTTTGATATTGGCACATAAGGCACTTATTCTATTAACAAGTAGTTCAGTAGCTAGAGCATTGATATCCAGGGTTCCAATCCTGGTCTAGCCCCACTGTGTTACACTCAAGAACATTGTTGTTGATTAATTTATATTTTGTTTATTTCGTCTTTAATTTTTTTCATAAAGTGCTGCCAGATATGGTTTCCTTTCAGAAATGATAAATCAAAGCAAAAGTCATGCCGAAAAAAAGCAGTTTCCAATGCATGGTAGTTATAGTTTTTGGCAGTGTTACAGGGATTCTTGAAAAAGAGGTACAGGGGCCTTGATAGCTCACCTGGTATTTTATCTTCAATTTAAAACAAACCTGCTGAATACCATACCAGTTTATCTATGGAGTACATTGTACATCTATAAGAAATACAAGCTGTGATAAGGACGAAATTCCTTTGGGTGGGCAAGACACCAATTGCAAGGATATGAGTGTATTCTTCAAGCTAAGCAATTTAATATATGATTATGCCATGGGTTGAGGGTCTCAACTGTTTCCATGTTATGAATCAGGGAGTTAGTCCCTAGGGGTGGATCGGGACCTACTGGCCAATCGTAGTACATGCAGCATGAATGTCTTTGCCTCTTAATGCCTAGCAAAATATATATTTGGTTAAAGAGTGGGGATCCTATCCAAGTTATGACCTAGTATCCTTATCAGAACCAACCCATAGGGTGGGATAGGACCCCAGAGCAAGTTCTGGTAGCATGAATGTATCTCTCTTTTAACTAGGTTGAGGAAGGGTATAAATGGATATAGAGTGGGGATCACAACCATTTCTAAAATACAACATCACTTCTTCAACCAGGCCCCACTCCTGTCTTCAGGGGCCAGTCTCTGTTTATACCAAATTGGGTTCATTTTGCCTAAGGATGCTATGTAAGTTATAACATAATTAGAGGTTCTTAAGAATTTTTAGATTTACCTCTTTTTCCCTATTAGGCCATGTCCTCTGCCCCAGGCGGGGCCGAACTATTAATACAATATTAAGTCCCTTGACCAAATGATGCTCTATATATAACACATTTGAACCTTCGGACCCGGTGAGCTAAAGATAGAGTGACTTTTGGGAGACATACTTAATGTGAAAAAATACATAATTTGTCTCGGAATGAGTTGGCTGTCTGAATCACTACTTTTTTTTATGTACCTGCATAGTATACACACAATCAAGTAATCATACCAGGTTAACTGTTAAATAACATTTGGATATTTTCTTGTAGAATGCCCCGAAAGCGTAAGAAGTCAAGCTGTGACAGGAAGCCGCAGTTAATATTTACAGAGAGCCCTGTCACTAACCAGCGCAATGTGCCAAGCCCTGTCTGTTGTGCCCTCCATCCACGCACTGCCCAGACTGTTCCTGTGGACCAGCTGGACAAATCCTCCTGGGTAATTCTTCATTACTATAATCTCAGTGTCTATAGAACATGAGGCTCTATCAATCTTACAGACTTACTACTGACGAAGCTAAGAACATGAGGCTCTATCACTGTTATAGACTTACTACTGACGAAGCTAACAACATGAGGCTCTATCACTGTTACAGACTTATTACTGACGAAGCTAAGAACATGAGGCTCTATCACTGTTACAGACTTACTACTGACGAAGCTAAGAACATGAGGCTCTATCACTGTTACAGACTTACTACTGACGAAGCTAAGAACATGAGGCTCTATCACTGTTACAGACTTACTACTGACGAAGCTAAGAACATGAGGCTCTATCACTGTTACAGACTTACTACTGACGAAGCTAAGAACATGAGGCTCTATCACTGTTACAGACTTACTACTGACGAAGCTAAGAACATGAGGCTCTATCACTGTTACAGACTTACTACTGACGAAGCTAAGAACATGAGGCTCTATCACTGTTACAGACTTACTACTGACGAAGCTAAGAACATGAGGCTCTATCACTGTTACAGACTTACTACTGACGAAGCTAAGAACATGAGGCTCTATCACTGTTACAGACTTACTACTGACGAAGCTAAGAACATGAGGCTCTATCACTGTTACAGACTTACTACTGACGAAGCTAAGAACATGAGGCTCTATCACTGTTACAGACTTACTACTGACGAAGCTAAGAACATGAGGCTCTATCACTGTTACAGACTTACTACTGACGAAGCTAAGAACATGAGGCTCTATCACTGTTACAGACTTACTACTGACGAAGCTAAGAACATGAGGCTCTATCACTGTTACAGACTTACTACTGACGAAGCTAAGAACATGAGGCTCTATCACTGTTAC